CCAGCACCCAGGGAGTTTGTAGCCTCACGGCCTGGTTTTCCACAAGTCTGCCCCACCCCCGTGGCCACACAGCTGAAGCTTTGGCTCTACTTTCATTCGAGGGATGAGTAGGCTGGCATTGGGCCAACTGCCACCCCTGGCCCTGGACTCTCGTGACCATGTGATCCAGCTGGCTGGGACAATGCTAGGACCACCCTACCCATTTCAGTGTCCTAATTCTTTTGTCTGCTATTGTGGCAATGTGGTAAGTATAACCTTTTGGCAGAGTTTTTGAACTGCCTGGAACCCAAGATCCTAAACATTTTTTAACCATATTTAGGTTATGTTTTATTTTGGTTTTTATCTCCAATGGAGAAAGACTAAGATGGAAAAAAATATAGGATGGATGGCAATGGTGATGTAGGGAAAAAAAGTTAAAAAAATTTTTAATGAGAATAAAATACAGGATGAAGTGAATTGAAAGACTGGTTTAAATGCACTTCAAGGACAGTATTTCTGTGTTCGCAAAATTTGAGAATAAATTGGTCTTGAATTTTAAAAAATACGTATTTAGAATGTCAAGATCCTGACTTCCAATTTGAGAACAAGTAACCTGACACCTTCAATTGGGAGTGACTTGTGTGATCCCAAACTCTAATTTTCACAAAGAAGATGGAGCCCCAGTAGCTCTGAAATTCACATGAAGCCACGCCTCTGCTGCCTGGTCCAGTGCTGTGCTAACTGCTCAGCCTGCCCAGGTACAGCTGCGTCTTTGTCTACGGAGGAGGGAGTTCCACTGTGATGTATGCATCTCGCCTGCATGGGCAGGCCATTGACTACCCCCGCAACCAGTCTATGCCCACAGCCCTTTGTGTGGCAGGAGAGCTGGACTCTGAGCCCTCAACTGCTTAGAGAGAGGGTAGAGCTGGCCTTTAAGATGCTTTTGCTTTTTAGAGAGAGCAGAAGGGGAAGCATCGCACAGCAATAGGGCCACTTCCCTGCCAGAGGGGGTGGATGCCAAAGGTGCTGGATCCTTTGCTCACTGGTTTACCCTCAATATGCCAGGAAAAATAGTCATCCCAATTCACTGGTCCAGGTTTTTATCACACAGTATTGTGTGATGAAATTCTTCCCGTAGAATTACTTAACTGGATGAAATTACCATGTTTCTTTTTTGTCTTTAGAAATGTATTGCTCTGAGGCCGGGCGCGGTGGCTCAAGCCTGTAATCCCAGCACTTTGGGAGGCCGAGGCGGGTGGATCACGAGGTCGAGAGATTGAGACCATCCTGGTCAACATGGTGAAACCCCGTCTCTACTAAAAATACAAAAAATTAGCTGGGCATGGCGGCATGTGCCTGTAATCCCAGCTACTCAGGAGGCTGAGGCAGGAGAATGACTTGAACCCGGGAGGTGGAGGTTTTGGTGAGCCAAGATCACGCCATTGCACTCCAGCCTGGGCAACAAGAATGAAACTGTCTCAAAAAAGAAAACCAGGCTGGGTTCAGTTGCTTATGTCTGTAATCCTAGTACTTTGGGAGGCAGAGGAGGTCAGGAGTTCCAAACGAGCCTGGCCAACAACATGGTGAAACACCCATCTCTTCTAAAAATACAACAACAACAACAACAACAAAACATATATATATATATATATTAGTGGGTGTGGTTATGCATGCCTATAATCCCACCTACTTGGGAAGCTGAGGCAGGAGAATCACTTGAACCAGGGAGGCAGAGGTTGCAGTGAGCTGAGATTTCGCCACTGCACTACAGCCTGGGCAACCAAGTGAGACTCCGTCTCAAAAAAAAAAAAAAAAAAAAAAAAAATCTAATACATTCATATGGTAATGAATGTTTCATTTTGTTTTTATTTTTATTTTAAATTTTTGAGACAGAGTCTCTCTGTTGCCCAGGCTGGAGTACAGTGGCACAACCTAGGCTCACTGCAACCTCCACCTCCCAGGTTCAAGTGATTCTGCCTCAGCCTCCTCAGTAGCTGGGACTCCAGGCGTATACCACCACACCTGGCTAATTTTGGTATTTTTAGTAGAGATGAGGTTTCGCCTTGTTAGCCAGGCTGGTCTTGAACTCGGTCTTGAACTTCTAACCTCAGGTGATCCACCCACCTCAGCCTCCCAAAGTGCTGGAATTGTCTTTTTTTTTTTTTTTTTTTTTTTAAATAAATTTTGTTCTTTGGAAGACCACTAAGAATAGCCATAAAATATCAATCCTTACATATTGAACCGCTCAAAAAAGAAACTCAAAACTAAATTTGGGTTCAGTGGCTTCTGAGGGTATACCACCAGTGAAGTCTCTGTTTTCAACAAGGGAGCGAATGGCAGACCCGCACACCTGAGGGCTCAGTGCTCTCAGAACTCCTGGCCTGGCTTCCTGCTGAGTGGCAGCAATCCCTCTCGTTTATTTGGAGACAAGAACCATGTCTCCATCTAGCTGCAGGCCTCTAGGGCAGGGACAGTATCCCGTCGGACTGGGATTCCCCATGGTGGCAATGACGGTCTCTCCTCCTTCCACACAACTGTGCTGCACTCAGGCTGTTTGTCAGGTTAGCAGAGCCTGGGGGAGACAGCTGGGACCTGGTCTGAATCCAATGCTAAGTCTCTGTTAACTCATTTGTGAAGGGGCAGGTGGGCAGCAATAGTGCCTGCCTTACAGCTATTACAAGATGTAGTATAGTCAATGGGAAGCCTTGTTCCAGGCATTGGAGGACACAGGGGAAGCTGACACCTTTCCTGCCTCAAGGAGCATCCTATGAGTGTGTCAGGAGAGACTAGAGAGGTCACATAAAAAGAAACGCCTGGCCATGTGTCCGGTGATAGAGAGGGCAGCAGATAAGGAAGAGGCACAAGAAGAGGCAACTCGGGTTGAGGTTATGAAGTGGGCCTGGGTGGACAAAGAGGAGAGGGCGTCGGCACTTGCATGAAAGCACACTGGAGGCATGAACAGTCAGTGCAGGGGAAATGGGGCGCCCTGCCTGGCATGCCGGAAGGCTCCAGCCAGCTGAGATGCCCGTGTCTTTGGAAAGAACATGCCCTGGCTCTGCCCCTACCTTTTTCCAGAGTAGACCAGTGATATGGTTCTGCCTTTGCTTTGTCCTGAGCACTCCCCATGGGGTGGGAGCAGGCAGGCTCGGTGTGCCCACTCCGCTCCCCCTGCTGCCATTATCAGCTGCGTCCAGATGGTCACAGGCTCCCTAATCTGGGATAATCGGCAGGTCGGAGCTCAGCTGGGACCCGGGCCTTTATGCCTGCTGTGATGGGTCAGCCCCCGGCTGGAGAGACCCTGTAGACAGGGCCCTGGGGCTTTGGAAGAGGGGGTGGGATGTGGGGCTGGCCTTGTGCTGGAGGGAGACGAAAGAAGCAGATGATCATTCCTCTCCCAAAGGCAATCTGAGTACAAATGAGGGGGAGCCTGCAGCTGGGGCCTGGCCAGCCTCTCCAGGCCTCACAGCCACAGGCCCAGAACCTCGCAGAATCAATCTATGGTGTCTTTTGTTCCCTTTCTACCCAGCAGTTTGTTGTTGCCCCTAGAGCCCCAGACGTTTTGTTTTGTTTTGTTTTTGAGGTGGAGTCTCACACTGTTGCCTGGGCTGGAGCACAGTGACGCGATGTAGGCTCACTGCAACCTCCGCCTCCCAGGTTCAAGCGATTCTTCTGCCTCAGCCTCCCAAGGAGCTGGGATTACAAGTACCCACCACCATGCCCGGCTAAATTTTTGTATTTTCAGTAGAGATGGGGTTTCACTATGATGGCCAGGCTGGTTTCGAATGCCTGACCTCGTGATCCACCAACCTTGACCTCCCAAAGTGTTGGGATTACAGGTGTGAGCCACTGTGCCCAGTGCCCCAGGTGTACAGTGCCATCAGGAACTTGTGCCCCCGTTGACACTGGGCAGCTCACAGGATCTGGTGCAGAGCAGGGTGACTCTATTCTCAGGGACCTGTGGTTGCGGTGCCCCCACCCTGAGCCTGCAGTTTGTTGTGAGCCTCCACTCCGTGGTTGCTCAGGGATTCATAACTTTTTGTTTTAGCCTCTTCCACGAGTGGAGGAGCCCCGACACCACCCCCACCACTTGTACCTGGCTCCTAGCAGTGAGTGCTGATAATCTCAAATTTAAGGACAGCAACTTCATCTGGGAGGAGTGTGGGAAGGGATGTGTTTGGGAATGGACACAGGCCTACAGAGGTGTTTGTAACCATGTCTTTTTAAGTGGTGGGAAACAGACATTTTAATTATTCTCTAACTGTTTACATATATAACAGGTTCTTTTTATGCATGAAATATTTTATAGTTTTTAAAAAATGCCCACACTACTCTTTTGAAAGTAAGTGAGATAATGTATATGTCAGAACCTAATACCGAAAGTGATAGTAAGAGGTAGGGCCTTAGGGAAGAGATGAAGTTGCTTACGAATGGGGGTAGGGCCTTCCTGAGTGAGGTGAGAGCCCTCATAGAAGAGGTCGGAGGGAGCTGCCTGGCCTCCCTCTACCATGAGAAGACTCAGCAAGAAAACACCATTTATGAAGCAGAGCACCCTTGCCAACACCAGATCTGCTGGCCACCTGATCTTGCACTTCCCAGCCTTGAGAACTGTGAGAACTAAGTTTCTGTTGTCCATAAATCACCCAGTCTAAGGTGTTTTGTGATTGTAGCTCAAATAGACTGCAATGGTATGAAAGTGCCTCATAAAGAGTAAACACAGGGAGCAGATATTGGACATTCCATCTCCAGGAGGGCAGACTGCAGCTGGAACACAGATCCAACAAAGTTGTTGGTTTTTTTGTTTGTTTCTTTGTTTTTGAGATGGATTCTTGCTCTGTCGCCCAGGCTGGAGTGCGGTGGCACGATCTCGGCTCACTGCAACCTCCACCTCCTGGGTTCAAGCAATTCTCTGCCTCAGGCCTCCCAAGTAGCTGGGATTATAGGCGCCCGCCACTACACCTGGCTAATTTTTATTTTTTTATTTTTAGTAGAGACGGGGTTTCACCATCTTGGACAGGCTGGAAAAGGTTTTATTTCTGCAAGAAAAGGGACCATTAAGTTAAGGGCTGTTTGTGTGAAGGTGCCATGAGGGAGAAGAGTGTACACCTGAGCTCTGCTTGCCGCTCTGCCTCCTGGCTCAGGCTGTCCAAGTCTGAGTCACCTGCCCAGGTTCTGGACGATGGTGACACAGCCATGGGAGCTGGTGCAGCGCTGCAGGGATGGCTGGGCCTCCACCTGCCCACTGCTGGGGTCAAAGGTGAAGACCTTATCGGTGCTTTCTCCGCGATCATCCCGCCCACCAAGGATGTGGACCTTCCCATCACACACAGTGACTCCACAGCTCTCCTGGGTGGACAAACAGAAACACAATTAACGATCAGGTCCAGCCTGTGCTCCCTCTGTCTCTACCTGGCCAGGCCAGATAAGAGAACCTTGACCCACAGACTGTGAGCAGGCAATCCGGACTGCAGAGAGGCAGGACACTGGATGGACCAGAGTTCGAGCTCTGGCTTGAGCCTTACTCAGCGAATGGCCTTAGGCAAGTCACTTAACCTCTCTGGACCTGTGAGTTTCCTCATCTGCAAAGGGAGAAGAACAAGAGTGCCTTCTTCACAGGATTCCCTTAACAGTTAATGGGAGTTAAGCATATAAAGCATTTTACATAGAGCCTGGAATATGGTAAGCACACCAGTAACAATAATCTCCACTGCCACCATCTTAGAATCTCAGACTCAGAGAAGCCAGAAATCTCACTCTTAAGGTCACTAAAGGTCAGAACTGGCAGAGACCACCAGTCCAGCCATACCTGTGTAGTCTCTGGAATTTTGGGGGATGGAGATGAAGGTAGGGGAGGCAAGGAACTGCAGGGGCCAGAGCTCCCAGGACTTGGGCCTCATATCACTAGAGAGCAGAACTTAGTCTCTTTCCTACCTCTTTCCCCATAATTGGTTACCAGCAGTGGCCTTAGGGCAGGAGAAACCGCAGGGTCATTTAGACCAAACTCCCACTCAAAGCTACAGCACTTGGAACTGCAGAGTTCTAGGCTCTGCCTTAACAGGGGCTAGGTGCTGAAGCTCTCTAAGGCCAATCTCCTCATCTGTGAAATGCATGGTTCGCTATCACTGAGGACAAGGCTAGAGAACTATGTATAACAAAACCACCAAGCATGGAGTCACACCAGATTCACAAGCTCCAAGAACCAGAGCCTTAGAAATGGCTTCTGCTCTCCTGCCTTGAAGCTTCCACTTACCACAGGGCTGGGGAGGACAGCTGCCTCCCCCCACACATCTGTGCCTGGATCATAGGTAAAGATTTTGCTCATGAGACCCCCCAGGACATAGATGGTGTCATCCAGGGAGACAGCCTCGAGACACCGCTGTGAGAAGGGTGCTGGTGACCGCAGGCTCCACTGGTCTTCCTTGGGGTCAAAGCACTGCACCTGAGGGGCAAGAGGAGCAGTGGTGATGAAGCCTCACCTCCCCCCCACCCCCCCGCAACTGCCCCACTGCCCACACGCTGCCACCTCTCTCCCCAAGGGACACTCATTCAAAACAACATTTGCCAGATGTCCACCAGGCCCAAGCCAGCATCTGGGAGGGAGGGGGAGAGCCACGGTTCCTGCCCTCAAGGGCTCTCCATCTAGTTCTATGTTCTATCCTCTGCCTCTGGACTCCCTTTGTCAAAAGCCTCATCTTTCAAGGTCCTGCTCAAATGCCACCCCATCCTTACAGGCTTCCCTGGTGTTTCCACTCCTCCTCCCCTTGCGGGAACAGCCTCCCTCTGATGGAGAACACAGTTGCGTCATGTGAGATGAATCACAGGGGCACATCACACAGAGCTGGGAGAGGTACCATCTGCTTTAGGGTTATAAAGGGTTATAGAGCAGACCCCCCCCACAGGGATGTGTTCCTGGCTGAATACACTGCCAACTCTTTTCCTGGTGCTCTCAGGTCATAAGATTCCAATTGAGGTGTCTTGCAGTCCTATTCCTACAGCTGTTCACATGCCCATGGGTGTTTCTGATGCCCTTAACAGTTTTTGTACAGTTCCCTGCTCACCTCACTCTATTTCCTCAACTGTTTCCTTGGAGACCCCCTACAGCAGCCTGTAATAAATTTGTGCCGCATGGGATGGTGTTAAATGGGGCCTCCCACCATGAGTGCCCATCACTCCACTCCAGGAGGGTTTGCTGGAAGAATGTGGTCAGGGAATTAAAAAGGCTGGGCACCCTAATTTGGGAAATAGGTCTCAGGACCACAGGCCTATGAGCCATCAGGGGAGGAGGGAACTGCTATAATAAAGATTTTTATTTGCAAAAAGCCTAAATGTCCAACAATAAAAGATGAGTAGACTCTAGTTCATCCACCAAGTGGAATAGTACAGACATTGAAATAACAGCTGTACAGTTGCTAAGCACGTGGAAAGTGCTCATACTTAAATTAGAATAAAAAGCAGGATGCAAAATTCTACTAACAGTGAGAACACAAAACTGCAAGAAAAACAAAAATCAATTCGGTGGAAGCCTGGAAGGCAATGCATCAAAATATTAATAGCAGCTCTGCCTAAACAGGGGGATTATGGGTGATTTTTTTCTATTCTGTTTTCTCTAAGTTTTCAGTAATGAGTGTATTATTTTTGGAATGGAACAAAAACATTTTAACTATCTTGCCCTTAATTTTTAAAATCTATGAAACTTACATGGCACCAGCCCAAACATTTGAGTCTTGGTATGCTGCTGACCCATTGTGTGACCTTGGGGTCATTTTTTCTGCTCATTTCCTTGCCTGAAACATGGAGGTGATTTGTCTGGGCTGTTGATGGGATTAAGTAAAGAAATGGACAAGGGCATGGAAATGCCCAGCTCTGCGCCTGGCACACATTGGGCGCCGCAGCCTCCCGATGCCCGCGCCCACCTTGTCCGTATTGACGCCGTCCTGCCCGGCACCCCCGATCACAAAGAGCTGGCCCGCGCAGGACGCCACCGCTGCCGAGCTCACGGCCTCCGGGAGGGGCGTGGCAGCCGCCCAGGTGTTGGAGAAGGGGTCGTAGCGCTCCACGCTGCGCAGGCGCCTCAGGCCGTCGAAGCCACCCACCGCGAACAGCTGCAAGTGAGAACATGGGCCATGGCGCCAGGAGTCAGGGCCTTAGGCCCCTCGGGCTCGCTGCTTCAGTCTTACAGTCTTTGAGCTGGAAACTAACCTGTCCCCAACCCAACTTCAGGACCAAACCGACCCGGAAGCCCAGCGCTGCCACCACCTGGGCGTCCTCCACCTAGTTGCTGTACCTCCCTGAGCCGGTTTCCTCTCATTTACCGGGGATAATGAGACCTTTCTCTAGGATGGGTACTGAATTCGGGTTAGAGCTGTAAAATACCTGACACCAAGCTGATGCTTAATAATAATAGCTAGTATTAGACTTTACCACCCCACTTAATTGATTCTAAGCAGCATTTTTATTTGTGTTTCTGGATTCGGGATGTAGCTTACAAAGATAATTGACAGATTCTTTTTGTCTTGAGTGGCAGAGTCAACCTCTGAACCTAGACTGTATGACCCCAGAGCCTACACCCTTGACCATCAGGCTGTTACTGTTACAGTAATTGCTATTATTATTAGCATCAGTATTATTATGTGACCTTGGACAAGTCTCTTTCTTTTTCGGGGGGCCTCAGACCCTTCTTACAAAAAGAGGGTTTTAGAGCACCTCCCTCCAGGACATCCACAGATCTGTACCTTGGGTCCCAGGGTAGCAGGTGCAGCTCGTGCCTACCTGCCCCTGCACAACTGCCATCTTGTGCCGCCACCTGCCCTTGTGCAGAGAGGCTACCTTGATCCAGGTGTGCAGATGGGAGCTAAACATCCACACATCGTGACTGTTGATGTGGCCTCCTAGGGAGAGAGAAGCACCTGTTGCCCACAGCTGTCTTGCTGTCCCCAGCACCCCCAAAGAGCTAGAAACTAGGGCCCCCAGATCCAAAAGAAGGGTTACGGGAAGGCAGCAGGAGTTCCCCTTGAGCTGGTGTAAGACTCTGGGTCTATGACCCAGACAGTGTGCTCTGAGTAAGTGGTGAGAAGGTCTGAGTTAGGACTCTTGAAGGGAGAAGGCTGAAAGATTCAGGAAGAAGGGGCTAGTTTTCATTGGGCAGTGGTGGTGGTCTGTCAGGCTCTGTGCTCAGAGAAGCAAAGGAGGGACTGCTGTACTAAAGGTAAGAGTGCAAAGGGTACCCAAGGCAAGCATCTGGAATGTGCTGGGGACCCAGGAAAAGCAGAGCCACCTGCACTGGGAGCCAGGAGGGGTAGAGGGTGGCCCAGTAACTCTCCCTTCCTTCTGCCTTCACCTGCACAATTTCATTTCTGATCTCATCCCTCCATGAGGTGTTGGGAATACTACAGCCAATTTACATATAAGAAACTCAGATGAGACTTAGAGACCAGCAATGACCTGAAGACTACACGGCCTTTTGTCAGAGCAATGGGCAGAACCAGAGCTTCTGGCTCCAGACCCAGCATTGGTGCTGCTGGAGGACATGGCATGCCCTATAGGACCAGACACTGGGGACGCAGGCTGTGGACTTTTTCTTCCCATGCCTAGCCACCCTGGGGATCTTGGTCGGGGATTCACCTCTGAATGGGGGCCTCCCTGCGGACAACCCTAACTGTACCCCTCAGCCTGAGCCTGTGACCACAGCCACATCTGTTTGGTAGTCCCATCTTTGTATATTTCTAGTGGCACCCAACAGAGGCCCCACATGTTGCTCAGAGCCATTAACGACCTTGGATAAACCGTCCAGTGGTAATGTGTGGTCTCTGAGGCCTCCACTGCTTAGTTTTCTTGCTCCTTATCCTTTGCAGGCACCCATAACTCACTACAACATCAAGTTCAATCTACTTATCTCCAGACTCAAAGCCTCCCTGATCCGACTCCTGCCTCATCTATGATACTCAGCCTGTGCTTCAGAGCCCCAAGTGCCCACGGTTCCTTTCTGCATGTCTTTGCCCTTGTGCCTCTGCCTATACTGTTCCCTCCAACTTTCAAGGTCCAGCTGAAAAGTCATCCCTTCCATGAAGCTGGGATAGATTCCCTGAGTGGCATTCCAGATCATCTGGGGACTCTCAGAGTTCTGATCACATTCTGCCTGGTGGTAAAGTGAAGTCTGTCTCTCCTCTCCAGGAAACCAGGGGAGCAAGGACTGTGTTTTATGCTTCTCTGAGTCTTTAGGGACTGAGCCTCAGAGAGGACACAGTTTGTTGGTATCAAACAGCTTTGTGTTCCTCCTAGCTTTGCCATTTTTGAGACAATTGGGGAAATTCTGAGCCTCTCTGAGCCTTCCTCATCCGTAAACAGCATTGTATGGGGATTAAATGATAACCAATGTAAGCTGCTTAGCATAATGTTCGGCACACAGTAGGCTAGATGAGGTGATTATTAATACTAACACGAACTGAAATCCCTAGGAAGCCGGCTCAGAACAAAAAGCAACCATAGGAATTGAAGTTGACATTGCTGAATAAAGGGGGCGTCACACGCGTAGTTTCTGCTCACTCCAGCCAGTAACTAACTGTAGGCTACCAGGAAACATCCCGCCTTCCTCTCCCGATTGGAGGGAAAAGCAAAGGGGGCGGATTGCGAGAGGGGACTAGCCAATCCCGTGAGCTCCCGTTGCGGCCCCACCCTCACCAGAGACGTAGACGTCATTGCGGAGAGCACAGGCGGCGAATTCTGAGCGAGTGTAGCCGGGCAGGCTGGGCAGTGGGGTCCACCGCTGGCTCTCTGGGTGGTAGGCATCGGCGAAGGGCAGCTTCAGGAGACCTCTGCGGTCGCAACCGCCGATGACCACGATCACTTCAGCTAGGTCCATGAATCTGGCGTGCGGATAAGCCCAGTGCCTGTTGGGCCGCACCCAAGTCCGGCCCTCTCACCCTCTCGACCACAATACACTGTCTCGCTTCCTTTCATGCGCTTCTGCCACCACCCCACCCACCGGCCCTCAGGTCCCACTCCCGCTGGACTCTGCCACTTCCAACTTTCCCTGCGGGTATTAATGGGAAGAGAATCACTAATTCTTACTGCATTCTGCTGACCTCTAAACTACAGAAAAAACAATCCTTACAGATCCCTTGCCCTCACCTAGAAAAATCACCTTGTTTAATCCGTATGACAATTCTATTAGTAGGGATTATTACCCCTTTCACAGAGGAGGAAACTGAGGCTCACATATCATGGCGTGCCCAAAGTTATGCAGCCATTAAGCGACAGAGCTGTAATTCAAGCCCAGGTTTGTCTGTGGGTTAACTCATCAACACCCTTTTCTCACGTGCAACCTCTGATTCTGCGGCCTCCCTCCTACTACGACATCCCTTCATCCTTAATTCCATTGAGCCAGATAACTCACCCTTTCAGCAAACCATTCTTCCCTCTCACTGACCCCTCAGGCATCTGACCCCACCAGAATTTCCATACCCTTTAGCCACTGGTTTTCTAATTCCTTTGGCACATACTAAGCATCTGTGTCCCAGGCCCTGGGCTTAGCGTTAGAGATAGTGTCGTTCCTGGGGGCGTGACTGAGGACTACTCTACCCAGAGTCTCCCAGTCCAGCTTTCCATGGGCGAGGCAGGCCGCTTTCACTCTTTCCCCACGCCCCTGCCTATTTCCATCCCTCATTAGTCTGTGAGCTCCCAGAAGGCGTCCCTGTACCCTGCACAGAAATTTCGTAGAGTAGTAAGTACTCTCACGGTTGCAAGGAGGAAAGAAAGTGTGCCCCAGGTGTGGGATCTCTGCATCTCCCTGACTGGCCTGTTAACTAGTCAAGGGCAGAATTCGAAGCAAAGAGACTCTAAAATGTTCAACGAATGACTGAATATAACCAAGAGGCAGTACTAAAGGATGGTGAAGGAATGAATGAGCGGTGGAAGAAGGTGGGAAGAACGGAGGGCGGGAGGCTAGGAAACGGCGGCCGTACCTCCGCGGCCGGGCCCGCAGCGCGCCGGCCTCGCGGCCCAGGATGAAGCAGGCGCGGGCCTCGAGCAGCAGTGGGCGGCACTCGCCGCAGGCCTGCAGCAGCTCGTCCGCCTCCACCTTCTCCAGGAAGTAGGCGGGCGCCTAGCAGCGGCAGGCGCACGTGCTCCAGCAGGCGTCGCAGCTGCCCGCGGCGGGCCGGCGCGTCGTGGCGCACCCAGCGCATGGCCGCCTCGAACACGGCCTCCTCGCGCGCCACGCCCAGCGCGGGGTCCGCCAGCAGCGCCGCCACCTCTTCAGGCGCCAGCTCCAGGAAGTCGGCGTGGCGCGCCACCTCGGCGAAGGCCTGGCGCAGGACCCGGCCGCAACGCTCGGCCAGCGGGGCCAGCGAGAAGGCGGCGGCCACGCGGCGCAGCGCCAGACTGTTGGCGGCGCGCAGGCGGCGCTCGAAAAAGCGCACGCAGGCCTCGCGCAGGCCCGCCACGCCCAGCCGCTCCGCCAGCGCCAGCACGGCCGCCGCCTCGTCCTCCGCGCGCAGCCGCACGCCCGCGCCGTACACGTAATCGAGCACCACCGCTAGTGCCTCCGCCGCCCCGGCCGGGCCGGAGTCCGGCGCGTCGGGCACCACGGGCACCACAGCTGGGACGTGCTCGGGTCGCCCGGCCGCGAACAAGCTGCGGAAGTAGGCGCTGCCCGCGCTGAGCGCCGCGCGGTGGCAAGGGAAGTCGCGGCCCCCGGCGCGCAGCACAACGTCGGTGAGGGTGCCTGCTCCGCCGGTACGCGTTGAGGGTCTGCAGCACGCGCTGCGCGTGGCAAGGGCCAGCACAAGGCGCCTCGCAGCCCGGCTCCGACTCCTCCGTCCCAGGGGCTTCCCGCATCCTGCCGGGGAGAGAACACAAACAACGTCGGGGAAGCCACCTGGCTGCGCCCGGGAGAGGGAACCGCCCTCATCCGTTTGTTCCCTCCCTTGACCATTCGTTCAGCGACTCCCCCCTCCGTCCACCGTCCAGGTTCCTTATGGCAACAGTGACCCAGGCCCGCCTCACCACTACATTCTGCCCTGCGTACCCACTCAGACACAGTGCCCTTTTCGGTTCTTCAAACTCGCTAAACGTTTTCCTATCGTTATCTGCAGGAGACAGATGGCGCGCTCTCAGATAGGGTAATCGGAGGAGGGTCTAATAAAGGAATGATTTCCAACAGCGGAGGAGGCGTTAGGGACTCCAGCAGGGGTAGGGCAGTCCAGCAGGCTGCTAACAGCAGGGCGCCTTGGCCGCCCCGGGGTCTGAATCGGGAGGTAAGCGAGGTTACTGGAACCTGGAAATACATCTGTGTAAGGAGGATCCCATGACGCGCTGAAGCCCTGGGTCGAGGGACTCAGGCTGCCCTACAGAGACCCAGTGTGTGCGTGTGCAGGGGAGAGAGGGTACAGTAACTCCACAGTCCTCTGCTCAGTCCACCCTGTCTCCTGTGGATGTCTGGTAGGTGCTTGGCGCTGACCACACCCTGAGCACTCCCCCGACAGACAGAATTCATACACACAGCATTCGAGCAAACGGTTTCAACAAGTATTGGGAGCCTTTTCTGTGCCAGGCAGTGAGAAGGACAACCATAGTTTGGGTGTGCCCGGAGCTCCCAGCCTGGCGGGGTTGCCTCAGGCAGGCACCGAGTGTTGGGGGAGTTCTTAAGAAGGGGCGCTGAACCCGGGTGGAGGGGAGTCAGGGAGGATGTCCATTCCAGCCGAAAGGATAATTCTGAAAGGAGGGCGGGTTAGAGCCCAGGCTGAGGGAAGCTGGCCCTGTGTCTAGTGAGTTCTGTTGGTGTTCTCCAGGTAGCAGCGTCAGGAAGTGGAAAGAACTCTAGGGACAAATGGGGATTCTAACCCTGTCCCTGCCACTGGCTCACGGTGTGGCCAAGGCAAGTCCCTCCTCTCACCTGCCCGCCTTGGCCTCAGTTACCTCATCTGAAATGGGATAATAATGCCTACCTCCCAGGGCTGTGGCTTCATGACTATTACATGGGCTGTATGAAAAGTGCTAGCACATAGTAGGAGCTACATGAGTGTTTCCCTACATTGTTTTTACTCAAGAGGAAGGGAGGACACTGTGTGTGCCAGCTGCTTTTATAGACATTATTTAATTTCATCCTCACAAGCCTGAGAAGTTTCTTTAGCCCACCCCTGCCCCTTTCAGTTTAGTCATAAGGGAAACAAGCACACACAGGACACCTGCCCTTCAGAGGTCTGCAGTCAGGCTCGGCGGAGGGTGTTGTGAAGGCACTCTGCAGACTGAGGGGCTGGGCCATGCTGGTTATGATTTGGCCATTATGAACAGGCACCTCTGCTTGCACACCCCCAGGGACAGGGAGCTCCCTCCTATCCATCAGCTTACTCTAGAAAGCTCAGGACCACCCTCTGAGCCCTGCCTTTCCCTCCATTCCTCCTGCTCCCAGCTGCTCTGCTGCCTCTGGAGGTCACATCCTGCCCAGTGTCAGCCTGGCTTTCATGCCCTGGTCATCCTGGGCAGCGGATCCCCTGCCCAGCATCATGAGAAATGAGCTCCCTGGTGGACAAGAAAGTTAACTACTTGTTTTTTTTTTTTTTTTTTTTGTTTTTTTTGTTTTTTTTTAAAGATGGGGTTTCACCGTGATGGCCAGGCTGGTCTTGAACTCCTGACCTAAGGTGATCCACCCACCTCGGCCTCCCAAAGTGCTAGGATTACAGGCGTGAGCCACTGTGCCCGGCGAAAGTTAACTACTTTCGCCCAAGTGGAGAGGCTGGATCCTGAATGCACCTGGCTCCAGAGTTTGCATGCCACACTTGCCAGGATGGGGTATGTCCCAAGGAGCAGCCAGGACCGGTCATGCTGCAAACAGTCTGTCCTCTACTGGCCCAAAAAGCAACTACGCTCTGAGTTGAGACCCAGGAGGACAGGTCTCATCAGCATAAGGATGTACTTCTTCCAGAGGTGTCCCACAGCACAAGCAGTTCCCTGGGGAGGGAGAGTCCCCTCCTAGAAGTGTGTCAGTATTTTTTCATTTTACTTTCTACTGCACTGGGCGCTCTGGACACACAGGGTCATCAGATCCAGCATTCACTCTGGGGATCCCCAGTCTGGGGGCTGAAGGACACCCAGTTGGAACATGGAAGGTAAAAATTCCCAGGTAGGGCTCAATAGGTATCCTCCCTTCTAGGCTGAATCTAGGCACTTCAAGCCAGGGGTCATGATGCAGACTGAAGGGCCCAGGCTGTAGAAGTTAACTCGAACATGCCACTATCACTGTCTTTTTCTCACACCCACATCCACTCACTACAAACCCACACTCGGACTTGCAGACACCTCGCAGCCGGCAGCCCTGCAGCCTAAGCCTTGCCCCTCACACCTGGCGCTTACCTGGCCACGCCCTCTCCCAAGTGCTCCGCAGCTGCTGCTCTCAGGTATCACTCCCGTCTGTGCCTGCCGCCCACACCCTGGCAGCCCAGGCTCCAGTGTTCCTGACGCTGTGCCTGACTCCTGCTCGGGCTCAGCTGCGGGAGGACAAAGGGGCTGGACGCCAGGAGGAAGGGGGAGGGAGGGGAAGGGAGATGCGAGTGGGGAGGGGGATGTTGGGCTTTTGTTCCACTCTTGGACTAGCCCTGGGAGAGAGGCAAAGAAAGGGGCCGTAAGAGTGGGATTGACTGTGTGTGCAACTCCAGGATTTGGCATGCCTGGGTTTGGGGGTGACCTGGTGCTGGCCTTGTTCCTGAACGAGGGCGGGTTTGAAGGTGTATGGTGCTGGAGTAGGGATGTGGGAGGGGTGTCATCATGCAGTTGTGGGCATGTAGGTTCCAGGGTGACTGTGTGCGATTGTGGAAGTGCATGGAATGAAGTGACGGTGTAGCATTGGCTGGGTGTGGACATGTGGCTGTGTGACCATGTAGATGCCAATGTGACTAAGCATGTGTGGGGGCACAGTGGCTCTGAGTCTCACTCCCTTAGCCCAGAGAGAGGTCAGAGCTTACCTCTGCCCCGGGAGGCAGAGCACTTGCCAGGCACTCAGTAGCACAGGCAGGAGGGCAAGTCCTCAAGGCTACTGTGGGGGTCCAGTGGAGCGTCCAACATTTGCAGGGGGCTTTTTTCCTTTTTACCTATAAAGTACCAGAATCTCCTAGACTCAAGAATTCTATTCAGAAGATCCCTGTTTGGAAGAGACATACCACTTGGCTCTCAGGAAGCATGGAGTTAATTTGATGCAGGCTGAGGCTGGGGCTCAGCTTCCCCCTTTTCCCTCAGGACACACCCATGACCAGGACAAAGAGGGGAGTTACAGACCTGCTCCAACTCCACCACTGACCCCTGCCCACAGACAGCAGAGGCCCCAAGGGCTGAAAGGAAAGGACGCCTGTGGTCCCAGGGCTGTACTTTGGCTTTCAGCCCAGGTGCCCTCAGTCCTGGGCATGGGCATGGGCCCGCCTCAGGCAGGTCCAAAGCTCGGAGAAGTCAAAGCCAAATCCCTGCCAGGAAGAGGTCTCCCTGAGCGAAGGGCTTGTCCCAGCATAGCCAGGAGGTTCACAAAGCCTTTGTGTGGCTTCGAGGGCACCCGCCAGTCCCACTGCCAGCCCTACATTGGACCCAGGAGCCCTCCCACTCTGTGTGTCATTCCTAGCCGCTTATGGGAGGCACACACATGCGCCGGGGCCAGAGTCTGAGTGGGATTTTGGCTTGGCCTGTTCTAAGTTGTGTGGCCTTTGGAAGTCACTTTACCTGTCCAAGACTGTCTCCCTATCCACCATGTGAGGATACCAGCTCCCAGCCATGGGCATCATTGCGGACCCAGGGAAGAGGAGGCACCATCCTGCCACTTTCCCATTCATTCCTGAGAATGGTTCCTCCTCAAATCATAGGATCAGAACTGAAACCTAGACCCAGCACACTTGACCCCCACTCCTGCTGGCAATTCAGAGACAACACACATCAAGATGGCAGCTTTAATCGTATTGGCCAAGGCCCTTGGGTTCCCTCTGTTGTGGGCCTACTTAGCCACATACCCACTCTGACCATGTCCAAAACACTTTTCCCAGGTGAGCCCTGTTCTGTGGCCACTGATGTGGGAACCTGAGGTCACATCAGTCTGTGGACTCCTGGGTTGGGGGACCCTTCTGTCCTGGGCTCTGCTGGACACTTGGGCATGGGATTCAGTAGTCCTGAGCTCTCACTTCTGGCCATCTCCAGCTGCTCCCAGGGGACATGGCTCAGGCCTGCTCCTGGGGCAGGGGGCTGGCGGTGGCATGAGGTGGGGTGGGGAGGAGGACGTGTCTCCACATTGCAGCTGGCTTCCTCCTGGGCCGAGCCTCCTTGTGCTTCGAGACTGACAGGAAGAGCAGAGTTGCTTCAAGTAGAGGCCTGGCCCAGGCCCGTGGGGCAGGATAACAATGGAGAACTCAGTGGCCTCATGGCAGACAGGACAGACTGGCACAGGTGAGCATCCGCACCCTCCATTGCCACAGGGGGTACAGCATGGCCCATGACCCATCAAAGCTTCAGGTTGGGATACAGGAGAGGGCCTCAGAAGGGGGGGACCAAGCCCTAAGTCCCATACTTCCCAGAAGGAGCCCCAGGCCTGTGGGGGCATCTGAGAGGCTTGAGTCCTGGCCCAGCTGGGCTCAGGGGACAGGAGTATCCCTCAAGAGAGGCTGTGGCTGACAAGGGGCTGCAGCCCACGAGGAGGCTGTGGAGCCTGCTCCCAGAGCACTCCGAGTTCAGACACGCTTCTGCCAGCTCTCCTAGGCTCCCCGGCTTCTGTGTCAGGTACAGGTGGGACAGACATGCCTTCAGCTAACGCCCACTCCTCTCTGTGAGGGTCTTGGCACGGCTGCCACCCCCTCGGGGGCCCACAGGGGTGGCGGTGCTGTTGGCGTATGTGTCGTAACTGTTGTCTGAACACACGGAGAGCTCGTCGGACACCTCTACGCCATCGCTGATCTCTGCTGGGCCAGAGGGAGACAGAATGTGAATTGGGGAGGAGGCAGTCATGAGAATGGCTGACAGATGGGGCGGGAAGGCTGCACCACCCAGCCAGGCACTTGGAGGCAGATGAAACCACTGGGCTCAGGTTGACATTGAGCCTGGCACTCAAGGCCCGTTTGGTCTCTGCTGAGCACTCTAGCTTCGCCTCTGTCTGCTGTCCCCTGGGACTCCACTTTGCAGCTACAGAAAACCACCTGTGCCCCTGAGCTTGACACCCATGTGTCCACTCTCCTCAGAGCCTTGGTGTGTGTCGGCCCCTCTCTCAGGAGTGACTGCTCCAACAACACCTCCTTTTCCTACAGTCTGGCTCAAGTCTTCTCATCTGTCACTCAGCCTCCTGGGAGCCTCATCGGAGCCCCAGGCTGGGTTGGAGCCTCCTTATGGCCACCCCAGCCCCTGCTTCCCTCTGCCTGGCCACATTCTGTATGGTTGCTGCCTGGGCCCCCAAAACACCTCAAGGACAGGGGTGTGCTCTGGGCATCTGTGTCCCCAGGGTATGGTAGAGTGTTGGGCACAGAGCAGAGGCTCAAGAAAGCTCTGCTGAGTAGATCTCGGCCCCATGGAGCTGCCTCACTTCCTTCTTGGTGCCCAGGCAAGCGGTGCTCCCTTGCCACCTCTGCACACATGCCATGCCCATCTGGAATGTCCTTCCTTCCCTGAGCTCACTCAGCCCTCATCTTGAAGCCATTACCCAAGCACCTCCTCCACATCCTCCCCATCTCAATGTATCAGGCACCCAATGCCTTCCTCACTGCCCAGGCAGTCTGACCATGCCCTCCCCCAGCACTCCCATCGCAGAACTCAACTTCCCATGCCTCTGTTAATGCAGCTGCTGCCTCCATCAGCCTGGGAATGTTGACAGGGACTGGCAGAGAGCAAGGATGAGGCCAATATTGTAGGATCCGAGTACAAACCCGGCAAAGGGGGATGGGCCTTCAAAACAGACTCCTCCCCCTGCCCCACCCCTGCCCACCAACCAGGACACCGAGCCATGGTGGATGACACTGAGTGGATGACTGTGTGTGGCGGGGTGTGTGTTTCCACACTTGTGCTTGTGCCTTTGTGCGTGGGTATAATACCAGTGGGTTTGTGTATGTCTGTGTCCGTGTCCCTACCCATATGTGCTGCATGTGAATGTGTGTGCGTACACATCTGTTTGCATGACGGGGTGTAGACAGCTGAGCCCAGGGCCTGCCTCAACCTGTCTACAGGGCTGCGCACCTGAGAAGATGAGTTTCTCCTTCATGATGCTGACGTCCCGGCTGGTCCGGCGCACTGCGGCGCTAAGCATGATCTGCTCAGGGTTGTAGCTCCGTATGCCACCCAGGCGCCACCTGCAGAGACGGCCCCATGGGCATCAGGTCCCTCCCACCCCTTCCTTGGAGCAGGGACCCTGCCTACTTCCAGAGCTTCTCTGGATGTGGCCTGAGAGGCCAGCAGGACTCTTGTCCCACTGTACAATGGGGAAACAGGCCCAGAGAGGGCGGAGCTGGGGCTTGAATCAGAGCCTACTGACTCTCAGCCAGGGCTCCCCGGCTTCCCTCTTACCTCCAGAGCTGTCAGTCGGCAGCCCTGGCCCAGGACTAGGTTTGGTTAGTTCTGTCTCGGATGTCCCCAGTTATGCACCTGGCTCTCTGAATGCGACAGATTTGGGAGCAAGCAGGAAGAACTCAGTAGGCATTCTGTTGAGTGTCCCCCCCAAGCTGGGGCACACACCAATCTCGGAGTCCTAGCTGATTGATGTCTCCGATAGCTCCACCATCATGACCAGGGTAAGCGAAGCCAGAGGGGAGACCCCCTGAGTGGAAGGGAAGGAAAGGTGGAGGCAGGCAGTAGGGGGCTTTGCCCAGAGCTGGTCTGCACAGGTTCCCAAGGCAAGGGGGTTCGAGTGACTTGGAGTGGGGCCAGTTGCAGTTCTAATGGGGAGGGGAGCATGACTCCTCTGATGGCAGAGACAGGTGCAAGGTAGGGGTAAACTGACTCAAGAGTGGGCTGGGAGGTGAGGTGTGCACAGGGCATGCAGGGACCAGGCACTGAGTGGAAAGGACTCAGGGTTCTGTGCCCAGCCGAGGCCACTGTCTTCACTACTGTGGTTCCTCTGAACTAGCCCCAGGTCCCTGGCCTCTGAACTTAGACCCTTCCTGGGATCTAGGCAGAAGGATCATTGGACTCTTATCCCTGTCTCCTCCAAGAGGAGTGGGTGTTCAGCTTGGAAACAAGAACCCAACTGCCTCAGGGACTGAACCCTGCTTGGGGGATGGAGGGAGTCAAGACTTCACAAAAAACCAATTGTAAATTTCTAGGTGGGGTCAGCGCAGCAGAAGTGGACAGACAGATGGACAGGCCGATGGATGAGCAGAGCAGGCAGACAAGGAGAAAGCAGGAGTTAGGGGTGGCACGGACACTCTGGCGGGGCTGGCTGCCCTGTGAATCATTGAGGGCAGCGAGCAAGTCTCTCTCTGTTCATTGCTGTGCCCGACACCATCAGTGCCTGCCGTGTCCCGGAAGCCTGACCTGTGCTTGTTGAGTAAATCAATGGAAGAATAAGGCCCGAAGGGAAATGATATCCCTCCCCCGGCCTTGTCACCCAGGGTCTCTTCTGCCATCAGGCCTCTCCTGATCCCTAGGAAGCAATGACACCATCCTGGATGTCTGAGCAAACCCAGCATGTCTGCGCCAGCCACTGAACCTCCATGGGGTGGCCTCCCTGGCACTCTGGGGCTCCGCATGAGAAGGCCCTGCTGCAGGCACAGCACTAGACCCAGCAGCAGCCAGCATGTGCAGGTGCTGGTCAACTGGACAGAGGAATGACTCGGGGAGTGTCCCACAGCCAGGGACAGCGTCTCCTCCTAGAAGCTGGTTGGTGAAGCTGCCTGACCCAGGAGGGCCTAAGGCACTAGACAGAGGGAGACTTGGGTCCCTAAGCTCTAGGTCTCATCCTGGAAATTCACGTTGAAACCCAGGACAGTGTCAGGCCAGGGTCTCTCAGCCAGGCACATCCAGAACCGGAAGCTCAGCCACTGTGGGATCCCCTCAGGGGAATGAGAAAAACGCTGTGTGTGGGGGAGCAAAGCCGGGATGGGTGTCAGAGACAGAATGTAAAGAAGAGACAGAAAGAGATGGGAGAGGCAGAAAAAAGATAAACAGGAAGAGTAAACAGTGGGAGAGGCAGAGCCAGGGAGGGAGAATATTGGAAGAGAGAGACAGAAACTTGGTAGGGTCTGCCCTGGGCAGGTTGTGAAGGCCCTGGTGAGTGCCAGAGGCAGGAGGATGGGGGTGCCCAGGCAGGGTCCCCTCTCCCAGAGGGAGACACTTTGGTGCAGAGACAGGCCAGGTCAGGAGGCTGTCAAGGAAACACTGGTCCCCACCTGCAGAAATGGCCATGGGAACAGGGAGCAGAGGGACACACACGGTGGCAGGAGGCAGCGGGACAGGAGGAACAGAAAAGGGGATTGCAGGGGTGAAGGAGGCTTCAGGCGAGGGCAGTGTCTGCGAGGTGACCCAGGCACAGGGCTTGGTGCACGGCAGGTTTTTAGACAGAACTGGAGAAGGGCATGGCAAGAGGGAGAAAGAGGAACAGGAGGAGGAGGAAGACCACACCGGAATTACCTGATCAAGTGATAGCTGTGAGATGCCAGAGTGCAGCAGAGAGAGGGGGAGGGGGAGAGAGGAGGGACATGCGCCGATCAGAGCAGGATGGGACAGAGAGAGAACGTCAGTCAAGAATAAAATCCCGGCCCCTTAGTTCATGGCTGGGTGGGGGCCCGGGGCTGGCCCTAGACCCTCCCTGGGACCAACCACACCTCCCCACTGTGAGCACTCCCCAGCTACCTTGCTGAGGGCTGGTGGGAATCCATGCCCTGGCTAACGGGTGAGCAGGCCAACCCAGAGAGGAGCTGAAATTCATCTAAGCCCACACAGCCACTCAAGGCAGAGCTTGGCTCTGGACTCTATGTTCATTCCAGAAGCCACCCAGCCTCTGTCCAAGGGAGGGAGGAAGGATGGGGCCACCGGAGTGTTGCTTCTCCCCTGTACAGGCCTGCTCCTGGCTGGGGGCCCAGAGCTCAGGAGCAGGTTCACCTGGCTGGGGCGGGGGCTGGGCCTGCTGCAGGGTAGTGACGGCCACGGAAGTGGTCAGATCCTACTCACTTCTGGAGCACGAAGATGCCCACGATGAGGGTGAAGGAGATCAGGTCGGCAGTGACCCACATGAGACAGTACTCGTCCGGGGGCTGTGGACAGACGGCCCAAGGCCAACTTCCAGTCATGGCCAGTCCAGACTGAGGCTCCAGACTGAGGGTCCGTGGGCCAGAGGACCCCACATGGCCATTGGGGAAGGGCAAGGGAGGACCCTGAGGGAGTCTGGGGGCAGAAGATTTCATTTTGCAGGCGTGGGCTCCGGGTGCTGTGGGCCTGGGGGCCAGGGTGTGTCTGTGTGCATGTGCGCTCTCAGGGTAGCAGGGGACTGTATGGTGCTCAGGGCAGAGGGGGCGTGTGCTAGGCCTGCAGGTCTGAGTGCCCAGGGGCCTCAAAGCAGGAGACAGATACTGAAAGACAGTGGCCTAGCCCTCCATCCCTCCCGACTCATCCCAGCAGTCTTGCCATCTTTCTCCCGGCTGCCTTCCCTTCACCCTCCTCTCCCACATAACCATCCACACTTGGGTCTGAGTCATCGGCACTGCATCCTCTCAGCCATAAGGACACCCTCTATCTGCCTTCCGTGTGCTCAGGGAAGTGGCAGTGGAGCCACTACCCCACTGTCAGAAGGGAGGTCAAGAGCCCCCCCAGCCCCCTGGGGCAGAACAGGGACGGGAACCCAGCTATCTGCAGGGGTTCGGTCAACCAGCTAAATAGCATTTTATTTGCTGTTCTCTGAGCAGATTTTAATGTTTCCTACTCTTTTTTTTTTTTTTTTTTCCCTTGAGATAGGGTCTCATTTTGTCACCCAGGCTGGAGTGATCACAGCTCACTGCAGCCTCCACCTCCTGGCCTCAGGCAATCCTCCCACTTCAGCCTCCTGAGTAGCTGGGACTACAGACGTGTGCTACCATTGCCAGCAAATTAAATTAATTAAATTTTTTTTTCTTTTTTTCTTTTTTTTTTTTTTACAGACAGGGTCTCACTATGTTGCCCAGGCTGTACTCCTGGGCTCAAGTGACCATCCTGCCTCTGCTTCCCAAAATGCTGGGATGATAGGTATGAGCCTGGCCCATGCTTCCTTTTCTGCCCTATTGTTACCCTCCAATCCAAAGAGACCCAAGCAGCTCTTTACTTCTCTAGAGCCCTGAGTGATGCCTTTCTCCCTGTGGATCAGGCCCCAGGTCCCAGAGGCCATGAAATCCTCCTCACGCCTCAAGCCTGCAACCTGTCCACGGACTCCCTACCGCTGCAGAGACCTCCCAGGGTCAGCCCCAAGCACAGAGCTTGCCGAGTTGTCAGAGCAGGCCATGGGCAGCTCCACCACTGCCCCCAACTCACCATGATCCAGAGCGGGGAAGGCACCTGGGAGAGGGTGTGGGAGTTGTCAGAGGTGACGGATGGGACCCCTGCACACCACAGCAGGGAGAAGAGCCACGGCGCGTTGACTGTGTAGAGGTTCACACTCAGGTTCCAAGACGCGTAGTCCCTGTGTGGCAGGGAGAGGCGGGTCAGCATGTGGACTCTGGTAGCTCCAGGCCCAGTGTGGGGGCTGAGAAAGCACGTCCTCTTCACGACCTCACAGCCATGGCCAGAGAAAGGAACATCACTCCAGAGGGCCACGCTCGGGGATGCGCTCACCCACTTTTCTCTGAACCACATGGGCATGATTCCCATGTGCCCATCCCTGTGCCCGACTGTGTGTGTGTGTGTTGGGGGGTGGTGGTGGCAGAACTGGGGGAGACTCAGTCCCACACTCTCCTGGAGGAGCCCGGGGCATGGCAGGCACCTGAGCTCCTGGCTGGACACCTGAGTGTAACGCAGGTTCAGCCGCTGGATGTGGCCTTTCCGCAGGCTGGTGACCGCCTCCTTGAGGCCTGATGTCTGCTGGAAGCCGGGAGCCACCTTCCGCACCAGGGTCCTCTGCTTGTTAGGCAGCCACAGGACCTGCAGGCAGGAGAGGGGCAGCCTCGGACTTCTCTGCACAATGAGGAAAGAGTACCTACCCTTCCCAGAGCACCTGTGGGGTGAAGAGATGGGACCTGGCGGGCGAGGAAAACTCATTAGCAGGGGAGGACTCTGTCCTAGCCAAGTCTGCAAAATGCACTGGCAGCAACTCAGGAAGCTTCCCTCTGGCCTGCTGTTAGTACAGGACGGAAGCCCAACAGCCACTACTCTGCACGTGGCTGCTAGCACCTAGTGTGCCGTGCTAAACTGGCGTCAGATTTCTCTGGCCCCAAGTTATTACACCACATGACAGGGCAACCCTTCACTGAAGTAACTTGACAGCCTGGACCTTTATATATTTTAAAGTGTTTTCTTGTTCCCCTCTTGTCCCACGATGACCCTGGCAGGGAGGCAAGGGGTGCAGTGATCCCCGCTTTACAGATGGGAAAGCTGAAGTCCGGAGGGCAGCAGGGAGAAGTTAGGCAGCAGCAGGGCTCCAGCCAGGCCAGGGCTCTCAGGGCAGAGCGGTGCTGCAAGGCCTCACCTGGTGCTGGGGGAAGCCAGAGCGCAGCACGGCCTCCAGAGTGACGTTGAGGAAGCTGCTGCGGTAAGGGTGCTCCCGGGGCGGGTCACGCAGGTTGAGCAGCAGTGTGGCATTGCCTTTGGCCAGCTCCAGGAGCTCTGCCAGGCTGCAGATGGACTGGTTCTGGGCCTCTCTGTAGTCAGAGGGTGACAGGGAGCTTGCCGTCCAGAAGGGGTCAGTCTGGCAGGGACAGGGACACACACTTGGCTGCATCACCAGCCCTTTGGGGGCCCCCACATGCCCTTCTGGCAATCAAGCGTGGAGACCCCTGGGCTGCTAGTCTGCTGGGGTCAGGCAGATTGATGGCTGTGGCCATGTGAAGGCTGGAGGAGGCCCCAGCCCTAACCTTCCTACCTCACACCCTGCTTACCAAGAGGATGGCTTGCTTGGAATAGCTCCCACACCCCACAGCATTTCTCCTTCTGGAGCATTGCAGACCAGGCAGCCAACCCCTCTCCAGAGTTTTACAGAGTTAATGCTATTCACTGCTCTCATTCCTGTCAACTTTTTCTAGTGAGGGAAACGGACCCAGAACAAGCAATGACAACCATGAGATATGGCAGCAGTGGCAGGAGCCCAGGAGGCCACCAAGCAGCTTGGGTGGGGTTCGGGAAGCTCTGGGAGTGGGGGTCTCAGGAGCAGATGGCCACCATTGCCTCTCACTCCCTGGAGTCCTGCTGGTATTTTCCAAGCCTAAGACTGGGATCAGATGCAGCCAGACCTTCAGGAACCACTGGCCAGCGTTGAGCCTCTGCAGGGTGGTCCAGTTGAGCATGGAGGCAGGCCTGCGGGCGAGCTCTGGGAACTCCTCCTCCACGTTGGTGGTACGCCGCAGGGTGGTGTCATGCATGAGGAAGGGCACGCCAGTCCAGGCTGCAGGGAGGGTGGGCCGCCGAGTCACTGACCCCCCATCCCTCACCTGCCCACCAATGACCGTCACCCCCACAGTCCTCCCCACCCAGCACAGGATCTGGCTGGCTCTGCCCCTCTCTGGGCCTCAGTCTCCCCATCTGCACAGGAAAGACAGTGGGCTGGTGGATGACCCTGAAGGCCTTTTGGCTCTCTGTGAGGGTCAGATGGGGGTGGGGACTGCCGAGAAGGGCGGGCTGAGAAAAAGCTGGACCTACTTTCTTAGCAAGCATGGAAGGTAGGTGCTGCCTCATTTGGTAATGAAGAAACTGAGGGTAAGAGAGGGAAGTATCTAGCTCAAGGTCCACAGCCTGCACGTGGTGGAACCGGGTTTCAGACCAAATCCCTGTGATGCTATGAGAGCAGTGCAAATGTAGACCTCTTCAGCAAACTTCACCCAACCCCCAATCCTTGTCTGTTCTCCCAGGGCCGCCAATAGCTCATAGGGTGCCTTAGTGTGAAACAGTAGAAGGCACCCGTGCCCTCTGTTCCTCAAGGCATTTTACCACCATCTGCTAGAAAGTTACAATAAATACACAATTCTGTATCTATCCTGGGAACAGTGTCCTCATATGTGTGATGTCCTTGTTCAGTACATAACCTGTGCAACTATATATGGCAGTTCTGCCCTTCTTCCCTTTTCAGATAACCTCTGTTATGAGATTGCTATGGATTCTTCCTGCCATTTATACTAATATCTACTTATATACGTGCACGGAGAAAGTGTATACGTCACTTTTTTGTGGTCTTTTAAAATGTAACTGGAATTACAGTGAATGTATCACTCTGCAACTTGCTTTATTTCACTCATGAGAGTGTTAGAGTTCTGTCATGCAGAGCCATAGAGATCTAGTTTTCCCTTCAAGCTGCTCTGTGGCAGGGCTCCAGGTCCCCACCCCCACCCCTGCTTGCACTAACAGCATTTGTTCTTTCTTCTATTTCACAGCCTGGAGCCTGCAGGACAGGGTGACTGACCTGCTGTGGATAATCTAAGCCTCTATCCACCCATCTCAGAGGCTCTGAGACCAGAGGTTTCCCTAGCAGAGACCCAGGTAGATGCAGATGTGTGTGGGAGGGGTTAGAGGAGCTATTTTTCCTCCGCTACACCTACCTGATGGTAATGTCAGCCTGGAGCCCATATATCTTCTGCTCGAGGGCCTTCCGGAAGGACATGAGAGTGTGCTCTGGAGCCAGCTAGGGAGGAAGGGGTGGTGCAGGGAGAGCCAAGAGTCAGCTGATATATCCTCCCCAGCCAATGGAAAGTCTTCCATGTTGGGAGTCTGGGCCGGGCATGGTTTTAATTCTTGCCCCTCCATGGTGTAGCTGTGTGACCCTGGACACCCACTCAGCTTCTCTGAAGTTCAGCTTCCTCATCTGTTAAATCATGCCTACCTCACTGGTTTCACTGCGGGGCAGGGGAGGTAGGGCTGGTGAGTGTTGATGAATATAAATGCCTGACAGGTAGCTAGCACTTGATACCTGGTAGCTATGGTCACTATGTTTTCATTGCTGTATCCTAGCCACTGAGCTAGACACTGGGGCTGGAGGGCTTTTTTACAGTCCTCTGTGACGATCTGGCAGTCTTGGGCTGGGGCTGAAAGTAAAATTCCCTTTTGGTTATACCCTGAGACAAGTCCAGGGGGAGAACTGGAAGAAGAGCGGGTGGATGGGATGGTAGAGTTTCATTGGGGACCTAGTTTCCTCATCTGTACAAATATGACAGTTCCATTTCCCTCCCTGGACTGCTACTTGAATTAAAAGCCCCTAGCACCCTGCCTGATATATATAGTAAGTGCTTAATAAATGGTAACTGTTTTGCCCTTACATCATCCTGGTTCTAGCATTTTTTTTTCTTTATTTCTTTTGTTTGTTTTTTGAAAATAAAATTGCACTTTGTAGGTACAGGTTCTAGCATTTTTTTAAGAGACAGGGTCTTGCTGTCACCCAGGCTGGAGTGCAGTGACACAATCACAGCTCACAACAGTCTCAAACTTCTGGGCTCCAGCTATCTTCCTGCCTCAGCCTCCCAAATAGCTGGGACTACAGGTGCATGCCACCACACTGGGCTCTGGTTCTAGATTTGACTCTGCCATTAACTATTGTTCTGACTTTAGGTATATTTCTCTGTGGATCTCAGTTACCCATGTGCCCCTTAGAGATGTGTATTCATGAGGGTCCTCATGCTTAGGAGAGTTGGGGTTCTAAGTCTCCCTCCCTAGTGCCATCTGCTCTGAGGATTCTGTCATACCCTTTGCTGCCACTGGGGGTCAGCACCAAACCAAGGATTGGGCTAAGACCAGGTCTATGAGGGAAGGAGGTAGGGAGGACACCCCTCTTCCCCCAGCCCTGGTCAGTGAAAGGGTGAGGTGGGAAGGCTGATCTCATTCATTCCTACAGACAATCCTGTTTCCACCTTCTCTCCCTCTGGCCACGATGTTCCCCAGCCACACCCCTCTTCTGTGACACAGCCTAGCACTGGGGAGCCAGGGAATGGCAAGGACTTTGGAAGGGACTGAAAAGGTGCAATTCCACTTCCCAGACACAGCTGGGGCTTCAGTTTCTTTAGCTATAAAATGAGCTAACACTGTCAACCTCATAGGTGAGATAACAAATGTCAGAGACCCTAGTCCAGGACCTGGCACACAGCAGGGTCTCTGTAATGAGTTCTTTCTTCCCCTGTCCCTGGCACAGAGCACCCTCAGAGAACATGCTACCTGTCTCCCAGTCCACTGGGCTGTGAGGCACTCCCAAGGGGAGCAGGACTATAAAGGCACCAAGAGAGAGGCATAGACTCAGTGGAATTCCACCCATCTCTAAATATCCTGTGATATCTAGACATGTGGACTCAGAGGCAGAACCCCCAAGGCAGTGCACAGGGACACACAGAGGGGACCTTTACCAGACCCTCAAAAACTACCATCAGGGTGCGATCATCCAGATGCACAATGTGAAAAGTTTCACAGGACAAATGACTCTGTTTTTCAGGACAAATTAACAGCATAAGGGAAAAAAGGGAAGGGGATTGTTATAGACCAAAAGACACTCAGGAGACATGCCCGCCAGATGCATGCTGTGGACCTCATTTGAATCCTGTTTTGTTTTGTTTTGTTTTGTTTTTGAGATGGAGTCTCGCTCTTGTTGCCCAGGCTGGAATGCAATGCCCCAATCTTGGCTCACTGCAACCTCTGCCTCCTGGGTTCAAGTGATTCTCTTGCCTCAGCCTCCCAAGTAGCTGGGAATACAGGCACCCGCCATCACACTCAGCTAATTTTTTGTATTTTTTTTTTTTTGAGACGGAGTTTCGCTCTTGTCACCCAGGCTGGAGTGCAATGGCGCGATCTCGGCTCACCACAACCTCCGCCTCCTGGGTTCAGGTAATTCTCCTGCCTCAGCCTCCTGAGTAGCTGGGATTATAGGCACGTGCCACCATGCCCAGCTAATTTTTTGTATTTTTAGTAGAGACGGGGTTTCACCATGTTGACCAGGATGGTCTCGATCTCTTGACCTCGTGATCCACCCGCCTTGGCCTCCCAAAGTGCTGGGATTACAGGCTTGAGCCACCGCGCCCGGCCAATTGTTTGTATTTTTAGTAGAGATGGGGTTTCACCATGTTGGTCAGGCTGGTCTCAAACTCCTGATGTCAGGTGATCCACCCACCTCAGCTTCCCAAATTGCTGGGATTACAGGCATGAGCCACCATGCCCTGCTGAATCTTGACTTTTAACAACTGTAAAAAGATATTTTTGAGACAATAAAGGAAAACTAAACAGGGATTCCATTTTAGATAATATTAAGGAATCATTCTTAATATTGGCTGGGTGTAATAACAGCATGGTGGTTATGTATCTTTCTAAAGTCTTCATGTGTTACAGATACTGCCTGACATGCGTATGGGTAAGACATTAAGTTACCTAAGATTGGCTTTACTACCCCAGAAAAAAAGTGGGGACATATGAAGCAAGAATGACAAAATGTTGATAAATATGGGGTTGGAGTCATTACATTCTTCTTCATTATGTGCGTCATTATACAATTTTTTTTCCACTTCTGCATATGTTTGACATTTTTCTACTAAAGAAAACTATCCTCCCTGGGGCCACCTCGCCCACCCATCTTCTTGCTTCAGGACACTGTCTGTGTCCCCTGGCCCTAGAGGGAGCACGGAAGATGGTAATCTGGGTCATGGAGACAGGAGGGGCCATAATTTTGAGCTCCTGAGAAGAGTCCCCCTGCCCCCACTGGGAAGGCTGGGCTCCAACTGGTCCTCACAATAGCCAGTGGCATAGGCATTTACACCTCTGAGACACAGAGAGGACTGGTGACTTCTCCAAGATGCACAGGCAGCATGTGGCCAAACTGGGCCTCAGATCCAGATCCCCACTGGCTGCCTCTGGGAGGGGCTGGGGCCAGCACGGGGGTCCAGCTTAGGGGCTAGAGTCTTATCTAGAAAATAACACCCACCACATGCAGGGGGCCAGACGTCCAGGGTGAATGGCAGCCCGGCAGACCCAGCACCTCCTTCTGAAGCAGTTATGTGAGGCCCCTTTACTACCCTGAGGTCCTGCAACAGCCTGGAATGCCCGAGAGGCCAAGCCCTCAGGAAGTACCCACATGCCCCCTCGGCAGGGTGGAGGTGGTACTACCTCTGCTGAGAAGGCCGGGTTCAATCAAGGCTTTGGTGGAGGAGGAGACCCTGGTCCAGAAAGAGGGCCCTGCCCAAGGTAACAGCAGTGTGTACTTGTTACTTTCTAAGTGTCGCATGCATATCTGGGCACTGCTCACATGCTAATTCCTGCTCCTTGCAGCCCCACGGCAGGTGCTCTCACCAGTTCCATGGTACAAGATGAGGGAACCAGGCACAGAGATGGAAACTGCTGTGCCTCTCACAGCTGGCCGGGCTGTGCCGGGATGCTGACTCAGGCAGCACAGCTCCAGAGCCTGCCCCTCGCCAAAGCTCTCCTGCAGGGCCATGAGGTGCCTTGGTGCAGAATGTGGCGCTGACTTTGATCCCTTCCTCTCTCTCTAACTCAACCTGGTTTAGCCGGGTGGGCTCTGAGCTGCCTCCCAGCTCTCCTGGCAGGTTCTGATGCCTGCTGGCAGCCCCCAGGCCCTACACTCAGTATCCATCTCCCTGCCCTTCCTAACCTGTACCTGGGTCTAGCCTGGGCCTAAAACCCTCCTGCATCTCTACAGGGCACTTAGGACAAAAGTGAAATCTTTTTAGCAAGATGCCTTCAGACGCGTCAAGATGTGCTTCCATCCCAGCACTCCTGGCCTTTTCACCCGTTCTTCCCATGTACCCTCCACCCCAGAAAGCTACAAATGGTTGCTACTATTACATATATCCATTTTCCAGGAAGGCCCTCCCATCTCACCCCCCCGTACAGGGCTGTTAGGACCCTGAGGTAGTACTCACCATGGGGGCCCCTCGGTGGCCAATGAGGGCGGGCTTGGGGCCAAGGTCCTTCTTTTCCATGATGCAGGGAGAGGAGATGGTGAGAGGGACCAGGTAGAGGGCAAACACCACGGTGAAGAAGGTGCAGAGAATGGTCACCTGGGAGGCTGCAGACAAGGGGCCATAAGTGTCACCTGGTGAGCTCTGGGTAGGTTGGGGTGCGATGCTGGACCCCTCTACCCCTGATAGGTCAGGACTCAGGTGCTCTGGGAGTCAGCCCTCCCTCATTCTTGCTGGGAAGGTGAACCCTGCCTCCAACTCACACAGACACACGCGCACGCATGCAGAGAGAGACATGAGGAGGAATACAGTGTGATGCTGACCAAAGCTTCAACCCTCCGTGGACTCTCTGGGCCACTCTGAGCCAGAATCCCCCTCACTGAGTGTGGGGGCCCCACCCCATCCCCAGGCCACTCAGGGAAAGCCCAGGTCAGGGCAGCGCCAGCTGGTCTTGGCACTTGCAGGAGTTGGAGGGGCAGGCCCTTCCAGTCCTACTCACAGGTCCGCTCTGTGCGGGCAAACTGTCCTGCCACAATCCAGGAGAGCACAGTGACTGCGGCCAGGGCCCCCACGTGCAGGAACGGCGCTGTGCCCTGTGCGGGGAGAGGTAAGGGAGACCAGTGATGCCCAGCTCTGCCCAGACTCTGTGGCACCAGCTTTCTACCTCTACCCATGGGGCAGGCAACCCTGTCTTCATCTGCCAAGTGAGGACACTGGAGCCTCAAGACGCTGCCATCCTCCCTAGCTCTGACCTGCTCTGTGACCTTGGGCCCCTCCCTGCCCCTCTTTGGGCCTTGGTCTGGAGAAGGGGAAGTGGCAGAAAGGCTCTTGTTGTGGGGGTCCTGGGGGAGCAGCCACCCAGGCCCCCTCCCCACTCACCTGCAGGGAGATCAGCAGCACCTCCCACTCGTCCTCCCACAGCTGGGCCACAGCCGACATGGCCACCACCGTGGAGGCCAGGATGACCACCAGGGCAATCTGGAGGGGGAAGTCACCAGACAGAGGCTCAGAGTGGGTGGGAGGGTCCCCAGTGTGTCTGAGAAAGGGGCCAGAGGGAGAGACGGGCGAGAGCAGGAGAGGCTGATGGAGCAGGGCAGAGGGGAGGGAGGAAAGAGACAGGCGTGGGATCTGAGGAAAGCAGACACCGGCAGACGGAGATGGCAGGGAAAGACTGAGGAAGGAGGAGGCCGGCAGACGCAGGGAGGAAGGGACAGTGAGAAATGGAAGGGAGGATGGAGACAGGAGGAGGAGGGAGATGTGAGGAGGGAGGACATTCAGTAAGGGGGACCGCTCCTGGGGCTGGCAGGTTAGCGACATTCAAAGTCCGGCCCAGCCTCCCTGCCACCTCAGCACGGCACAGCAGAGGAAGAAACCCACTTGCCCAGGCCATGCCTAGGCCTCAGGGGAAGGGGGCTGAGGACCTGGGTCTGCTGCAGGAGCCTGGCACCCTGGGCTGGGCTCACAGTGGCACTTCAGGCAGGGGCGGGTGGTGAAGCACAGCTCCACCCGCCCCATCTCCATAGCCTGCCCTCTCCTGGCCTCCCAGCATCCAGGTCCACCATGATGGAGGCCGCCCTCCTTGCAGCCTCCAGAAGAAAGCAGATCACAGCTCTGAGGGAGGATGAGGTGGTACCTCCAAGGGACAGAGATCTCTGGGGACAGATGAGACCTGAAATCTTCAACCATGTGAAGCTCATGAAGCTTCAGCCTCTGCAAAGCCAACGTTTTTTGGCTCTTCAGCCCCCAGCTCCTGGACCTTGGCCCTGGATCTCACTCCACCCACACCCAGGCATCCCCACCCCCAGGCCAGCCTCCCTAAAGGCCAGGCTTCGTCTCTCCTCCAAAGCCTCCCATAGCTCCCAGGCTCTGGAAGGTCAGTCAAAGCCACCACCTGTCCCCATGGTTTCTCCAGACTCATCTCCCACCTCCCTACAAAGGCCTGTCCTTCTCCCTGGAGAAGGCCGGTTGCCCTGCCTCCCTGGAGCCGCTCTCGCTGCTGGCAGGACCCTCACCCCTTTTCTCCCCAGGCAATCTTTCCCAGAGGCAGCAGCAGCCAAGTACCCTCTGACACCCGCTGAGCAGGGACAGTGGCATTTCTAGATGATGAGGGTAGGGTTGTGGCTAGCATCTCTGCTCCCTGGGGACCTTCACTCGCTGGGGGCGGGGAGGAAGGCTGCGTCTCGCCTGGGATGAAGTTTCCCTTTGGAGGCTTTTCATTCCAGCCCATCAGCCTGGAAATGAATGTTCCCCCAGGAGGCTCGAGAGGCCAGAGACAGGTGAGGGGCCGGAGGGGCTGTGACATGCGGGCTCAGGGTGGGAAGAGGTTCAGGCGTGCCTGGGCCGGCAGGAGTGCTTTGCGTGGTCCCCAGGTTGGTTCTGCGGAGGCGTGGGCATCCTCATCTTACACACGGGAAGCGGGGTTCAGGGGTGGAATGGCTGGCTGGGTCATGGAGCTTTGAAGGGGCACAACCAGAAACGAACATCTTCTGCCCATCTCAGGGGGTGAGGGGCTACGCGCTCTCTCGGACGAAGAGTGGCGGGTTAGTGTGTCAGGGAGGCTGAGTGTCAGGAGGTGTCAGGGAGGTGTCAGGGAGGCTGAGCAGCCTCTGGGAGGCCCGGCTGTGCCTCCGAAACCCCTGAGAACCCCGCCCTTGGCACTCAGGCCCCTCCGCCGGGCTGCCCCAGGCGCGCAGCTGCCCCCTTGTGACCGTCATGGGAGGAGGCCCTGCACACAGCGAGTGCCTTGGAAGGGTGGTTTCTGGGAGTGTCTCATCACAATACTTAACTGCTAATGGAAATGACTTGCAATAAAACTGATTCCCCAAACCCTAATACAATCAAAAATGTTATTATCTCTGAGTTCCACGGTTGCTTTGGCAGTAACCATCACGCTCAGCAGCATCACTGCACGGCTGGTGTCTGTGGGACTTTTCCTGCCTTGCATCATTAAGCCATAGCAATAGCACTGATACCCAACAACATAACCACCATCACTCCTTAAATCTGACTGAAAAGGATGAATCCCACCTTAGGGCCCAGAGACAGACTACCGCCCTCCTCTGAGAAAACGTTCTTGGGTTCTCTGTCCTCATGGGACTGTGGCTTGTGATGGCAATGGCGGGAATGAAGGATGCAATAGCGTCTTTCATTCACTCTATGAGTCTGGCCTACGTGCTGGGACCCGAGAGGAGGTGGAACCCCGCCTTATAGAGGTGCAACGGCTGGCCTCTTGGGGGTACCTGACCTCTGGGTTCTGCAGTCCAAAGGGCAGACAGTTGGCCCAGGGTTAAGAGTCTCACTTGAGGCACAGTCCTCAGTCAAATCCTGGCTCTGCTACCTACTGGGGATCTTTCCATATCTCCCCAGGGACCTTCCCAGAGCTGTGAAATAGGGATAGCAAGTAGCTACCTGGAAGGGGCTTGGGGAAGATCAATGAGGAAATGCAAGTGAATTGCTTAGTACAACGTTGGTCAGAAGCAAATGCTAGCTAATCTCAGTGGTATCATTTTTAAGAAGTGGGCATGGTATCAAGGGAACAGGATTATTGTGAGGAGTGAAATGATTGTGAAACGATGGTTACTGCTGTTATGGTGAATGCAGTGCCTGGCACATGCAGGAGGCTCTCAGAGAATGTGTCTTCCTTAAGCTGCTGCTGGAGGGACAGAGGCTGGACACCAGGAAGAACCTTCAAGCTGGGGCCAGTGCAGGGAGAGAAGTCTGGATTCACCAGGAAAGGTGATGAAATAGACACAGCAGATGGCAGGTAGAGGCTGACAGAGCCTTGGTAGGAGGCAGAAGCCCCAGACCCAGCCCAGCCAGTAGCTTGCCATGAGGCTGTGTGGCACCCAGTGCTCCTCTCTGGGGCTCAGGTTGGGTCCCTGACAGATCCCTTCTCTGTGCAGGTCCTAGGCTGGGGGCTGCTGCCACTGAGGCAGGGGAGTCAGGCGAGGACACAGGGCAGTGCAGGGTACCTGGGGCAGCTAGGGAGGTGCGAGCTGTGGCCAGAGTGCCTCCCAGAGGGTGGTGGGCAGGGCAGGAAGGGAGGCATCTCAGGGAAAGGGCCTCCTGTTTACTGCAAAGCCCCCAAGAACCCTTCAGCCTGCTCCCTCACCTCCTGGGTACCTCAATTTCTCCTGAACGCTCACCTGGAAGAGATTTCTGGGAAATGGAAGATTTGGGCAGACTAGGGAAGAGGAGGAAGGTCCCTACATGGGCACCAAATCCACCTCCAGCACCAGCCTGCTGTGAACGGCTCCCTCTCACCCTGTCCTGAGCACCTCTGTCCTCCCCTCCTCAGGACTCAGGGGAACCAGAGACTCTCAAAATAAAGTTCATGATTAAAACATACTATAAAATTGTGGTCTTTAGAGCACTGTGATACTAATATAAGACCAGATAGATAAATGAAAATAAGTAAAAAGTTCAGAAATAGATCCAAATACATAAAGAAAATTTAGTATATGGTAAAAGTAGCGTCTCAAATGAGTAAAGGACAAATTCTCAGTAGAGAGAGTTGGGAACACTGACAAACCATCTAAAAAGAACAGAGTAAGATCACTCTATACCCCAAAATAGCTTCCAAAAAGAGAAAAAATTAAATGTTAAAAAAAGTGGAAATATATAATTACCAAGTGACACCATAGAGAAATTTTCATAATCTTAGAGTGGGAAAGACCTTTCTGAGTCTGACATAAAACCAAGGAGTCATCAAGAGATGACAGATTCAAGTGCATAAGAATTAAAAAAAAAAAAAAAAAAACCCATGGAAGAAACACAAGGAACAAAGTCAAAGGATGAGCGACAAACTGGGAAGAATTATTTGCAGTTTGTTAGCCAAAGGGCGAAATTCCCACATCTCTAAAGAGTTCCAGCAAATGGGGCCGGCCCGGTGGCTCACGCCTGTAATCCCAGCACTTTGGGAGGCCGAGGCGGGTGGATCACGAGGTCAAGAGATCGAGACCATCCTGGTCAACATGGTGAAACCCTGTCTCTACTAAAAATACAAAAATTAGCTGGGCATGGTAGCACACGCCTGTAGTCCCAGCTACTAGGGAGGCTGAGGCAGGGAATTGCTTGAACCCAGGAGGCGGAGGTTGCGGTGAGCCGAGATCGCGCCATTGCACTCCAGCCTGGGTAACAAGAGTGAAACTCCGTCTCGGAAAAAAAAAAAAAAAAAAAGAGTTCCAGCAAATGAACAGGCAAAAAGCAATGGCAAAAATGGCAAAAGTTACGAAGAGGCAGTCTTATAGAAAAGAAAACACAAGTGACTCAAGCATGTGAAAAATGCCGAATCTAACTCATCCGAAGGGAAATGCAAATGAAAACTACAGCAAGGGACCACTTCTCACCCATCGAGCTGGCAAAAGCCAGTAAGTCAGCTGATGCTTTCTTTATAGGCAAGGGTGTTTTCATAGAACAACTATCCATTGCTAAGAGAGCATGAATCAGTGGCACTTGGCAAGGAGGCCATTTGGCAAAATCAGGGTGATGAAAGCACACATTCTTCACCCAGAAATTCCTCTCCCAGGTCACCGCCACATTGTCCTGGCAAAAGACAGAAGGCAACTGGATGTCGATCCGGTCTATCAACAGGGAACTGGCTGGATGCCTAGGGAATCAGGGAATATCCAGACCAGGGAGCAGGAGCCAGGGATGGATACCAACCGGGATGCTTTTAATGAAGCGAAGAAGGAGCTCCAAGAACTGTGTTAAGGTGCGGAACAGAGGGTGGAGTAGGCGACTGTTTGTGTTTAAAGAAAAAAGGAAAAGGCAATGCATATGTACATGTGCGTGTGCTTAAAATACGCCTGGAAGGGTAGTAAGGAGACTTTCTTTGTATACTTTTTTTGGCTTTTGTATTTTGAGTCATGTCAGTGTATTACATGGTCAAAAATTAATTAAAGCAAAACAAAAAAGAATAAAGATTTCTTAGAATTTTAGAATCAAATGACAGAATCTTAGAAATAGAAGAGAATTTCCAGGCTCTGCTGGAATACTCTGAGCTCTGGGGAACTCCCTCCCTCCTGGTGGGGCGGGTCCGGCTCTGGGTCAGCTCCACCTGGAAGGACCTTGCTTGTGCTGCGATCTCACAGAGGGGGCAGAGGGCAGAGGAAGGCACCCCAGGAGCTGGCACCAGCATGGACGATGGGATCTGCCTCCCTGCATTGATCTGCCACCTCCGGCTGGCTCAGCGGCTCTGTAGACCTCGCCACTAGAATCAAGCAGGTGTGACCTTACCTGCTGAGAGCCAGGCATGGCCCCAGGAGGTGACCACAGCATGTGCCAGCCCCACCTGGGATGCCAGCTGGTGCAGTCCTTTCAAATGCCAGCTTTGCAGCCAGGAGAAGAAAGTCCCTCACAGAGGGGATGGTGGAAGCCCAGAGGAGACCTGTGAGTAGAGTGAGGAACAGGAGGAAGGTGGGGGGCCAGGGGCTGCTCATGGCTCCTACCACTCTAAGATTTCAGTCTCCGGGGTCTGACTCCCAAGCTCCAGACCTGTGTAATGAACAGGTCTCGCTGCCTCCCTGGATGCTCACAGGCACCCCCTACTCCACACAGCCCAACCCAGGCTCATCACCCCTCTTCCTTTTCTGATCCACATCCATCTTCTAGCTAGGAGTGAGCCCTTCCCTAGGAGTTACTCTGGACCCATCTCATGGGCTCATGGTTGTTTCTGAACATTTCTGCCTTTTCCTAAATGGCAGGTCCATGGGGAGCCAGGCTCTGGGGAAAGGGAGATGACCCAGATGTTCCTGAGAGGGAAGGGCTCTGCCTCGGTCAGCTGTGTGCCACTCTGTGCCCACCAGGGCTTCAAGAAGGCCAGGCATCAGAAACACACTTCAGCACTGTGCCTGCCGCAAACGTAAGCCAGAGAGTTAAGGCTCTGGAATGGGTGAAGCCTGTCTGCTTTGGGCCCAGCCCTGAGTGGGGCACTGGGAACAGGGAGATGGAGGTTAACTCTGGCCTGCAAGGAGCACCTCAGCTGGGTGGGTTGAGGCAGGGAGCCAGATGAATACTGAAAACCCAGTGGTTCAGACATGTAGCAGGGGAGGCTTCAGGGCCACAGAAGCCTGGAGAGAGAAGCCTGTGTATGTAGGGGAGATACTGAAGAAGCAGTCCGAGAGAGAAAGGGAAGGCAGGAGCAAAGCGCTAAACAGGGGAAGGAGGCAGAGATGCTGGGAGACAGTGAGATGTCTCATGCAGCAGATGCTGAGGGTGACTGTCCCACGACGGGTTGGGAGATCCATAGGGACCAGATCATGCCAGGTAGGGAAGTTTGGGTCATCCTGGAAGCGGTGGGAATGGTGGAAAGGCTTTAAGTTGGGGAATGCCATTGCCAGATCAGGGTTTTCTAAACAGCCCACCAAAGAAGGAAGAGGCATGTGAGACCCAAGGCAGGCCCGCAGACGGTGGGTGCCAGAGTATGAGCTGTGAGCTCTGCTGGTTAATCGCGTGGCTACGGGGCCAGGGCCCTGGATCTTCCATTTTTAAACTGGGAGAGCTTGGGCAAGTGACTTAACCTCCTTGTACTTCAGTTTCCCCAACCACAAAATGGAATGGTAACAGTACCGACGTCACGAGGTTGCTGTGGGGGTGAGATGAGTGAATACAGGTGAGGTTGTGAGAAAAGTGCTTGGCGCAGTGAGGGCTCAGCGATAACTATGAGAACAGTTCTAACGGCCATCCAGGGGAGGGACGTGGTGGCCAGGCCCTTCCTCTGCTGCTGCCGCCTCCAGCTTCCCCTGCCCTCTCCCAGCTCCAGCCAAGGCGGCCCTTACCTTGTGCAGCCAGTGCAGGTTCATCTGCTGTCCCACAGCGATGTGACATAGTGCCAGGACCTGAGGAGGGGCCCACAGGGTCCGTGTCAGGCCCGTGTGGATGGGAAGGCTTTGCCAGTTTCTCAGACACCCTGTTCCCCACTGCTGCTCTGGGCCTGACCCTGGGCAGAGGCAGCAAACCCACTCCAGGCGATGGGAATGCCCAGCCCAGACTAGCCAGCCTGAGCCTGGCCTCCTCCCAGCTGATTCCAGGCCTCTAGGCTCCTCCTCTGTGAAATTCCTCATCAAGAGGTCACTGGGTGCTGCTGCACTTGGACTACCCAACTTAATTCATCAAACATTTTGGGAGTTCCAGTCCCTGGGATTCTGAAACAGACTTTGGCCTGTCCCCAAGGAGTCCCCAGTCCAGCATGGGGGATCCATCTGCATCTCAGTGAGTAGGATATTGGGAACAAGAACCCAAAGCAGAGGCTCCTGGAAGAGGAAGCCTGTAGTGAGCCCTCACAGCCAGGACAGCTCTTACCAGGTCCGGGGAAAACATACCAGGAGAGACTGGCAAAAGCAAGAGGACCTCCTATCTTGGGGGACCCAGGGCTCAGAGGTGCAGCAGCCCGAAAGGCCCTGGGCAAAATATGAATTAATTGCCATAGGGAGCCAACTTCCTACTAGTGGCACAAAAGAGCTCCCAGTCATTCACTCTTATAAATTAACATAAAAATGAAAATTTTATACATATCTTTCTGCATTTTAAATTATTTCCTTAGGATAGATTCTTACAAATACAATATTCCTACAAATACAGCTTCCCCCTTTACACCAGGGTGGGCCCCTCCATCAGCCCGGCACAGGCCAAGTCTCCCTTCCCCTGGGAGCAGGGCCACCTGCCCCCTTGAAGCAGCCCCACGTACCAGGAGGCCAGCAATGTACGCGAAGGCAGCGGCTGTGGTCACAAGGATGGGCATGGGCCAGTCGCTCCAGTAGCCCATGCGGTTATAAAGGTACCTGCCAGGAGGAGAGGGGGCAGAGGTCAGACCTCCACCAGGCTACTGCCTGGCCTAGGAACCAGAATGTTCTCAGCCCCCACACAGACCACAGGCTGGGCTCAGTGACCAGGCCCTGCCCACCCAACAACAAGGCTACATGGTAGAGCATTTGCCTGACGCTCTACCATGCCTGCTCACGGCAGCTACTCAGAGACCAAGAAATGTAAAGGAGAAAATAATGCCCCACAATTCTATCTCCCAGAAGTAATTATGACCAAGACTGTGCTGGAGGTTCCTTCTGTGGGTTCCCCTGCCCCGATGCCTATATGTTTGTATAAACAGCAAAGCCAGGAGCCCATTGCACAAAGCAACACAGTCAGGAACACAGGCTTTGGAGTGAGGAACACGCACACAGGCTGGATTCAAATCTCCTCTCTTCTCTGCTTCTCACTGTCTTGTAGGACCTTGTGGAGGTGACAGCCTTCACTGAGTCTAAGATGCCATCAATTGTGACTGCCATCTCAACTTCAATGTTAAAGTGTGAAAATTGGGGGTCTTAGAATTGATCAAATGTCATACTTGACCTCTCTGAGCCTTAGTTTCCTCACCTATAGGATGGAGACAAGAAGAAAGTCCCTTTCATGAGGCCTCATGAGGATGGAGCGAGGTGAGATGCATGGTAAGTATTCAGTACACTCTCTTTGTTTTCATTTGTTTGTTTGAGACAGGGCCTCTGCCACCGAGGCTGGAGTGCAGGAATGCGAACACGGCTCACATAAGCTTTGACCTCCTCGGCTCAAGCGATCCTTCTACCACAGCTGGGACCATAGCTACCCACCACCATATCTGGCTAATTTTTTGTATTTTTTGTTGAGGCAGGGTCTTGCCATGTTGCCCAGGCTGATCTCAAACTCCTAAGCTCAAGTGATCCTCCCACCTCAGCCTTCCAAACTGCTGGGATTATAGGCGTGAGCCACCATGCCTGGCCAACTCTTCTCAACACGAGCATTTACTCATGCCAATAAAAATCCTGAGAAAGGCCGGGCGCGGTGGCTCAAGCCTGTAATCCCAGCACTTTGGGAGGCCGAGGCGGGTGGATCACGAGGTCGAGAGATCAAGACCATCCTGGTCAACATGGTGAAACCCCGTCTCTACTAAAAATACAAAAAACTAGCTGGGCGTGGTGGTGCGTGCCTGTAATCCCAGCTACTCAGGAGGCTGAGGCAGGAGAATTGCCTGAACCCAGGAGGCGGAGGTTGCGGTGAGCCGAGATCGCGCCATTGCACTCCAGCCTGGGTAACAAGAGCGAAACTCCGTCTCAAAAAAAAAAAAAAAAAAAAAAGAAAAAAAAAAATCCTGAGAAAATGTGATTTTTAAAACAGCCACATGGCTTTCCACTGAATTAATGTGCCATATGTAGCCAACTTCCTACTAGTCGCATGAAATAGTTTCTAATTATTCACTATTATAAATTAACATAAAAATGAAATTTTTATACATATCTTTCTGTATTTTTGATTACTCCCTTAGGATAGATTCCCACAAATACAATTATAGGGTCAAAGAGAATGAACTTCTTTTTGAGACAGGGACTTGCTATGTTGCCCAGGCTGAAATTGAATTCCTGGACTCAAGCAATCCTCCCGCCTCAGCCTCCCCAGTACCTGGGACTATAGGCACATACCACTGTACCCGGTGGGAATGAACTTTTTAAGGGGCCTGATAGATACTGCTTAGATGCTCTCCAGAAAGAATGAACTACTCACATCCTCTCTACAAAGGGGGAAACCGAGGTATAAAAGAGGCAGCAACTTGTTTAAGGTCATTAGAGAATCCAAGCCAGTTCCAGGCAGCTCCAGCCTGCTATCATCTGGGACCTTGCCAGGGAGCTGGGAAGGGATACCAGGAGGACCCCATGGGGTGTTCGCCCTCCCTGGCCCTCACCCTCAGAGTGAGGGGAAAATCTACTGCCTGGCAGATCACTGAATGTACTCACCTTACCGTACAGTTGGGAAACTGAGGCCTGAAGAGGAGCAAGACTTGCTCCTGATAACTATTCCAGAAAGACATTCTGCTCCCATTTATCTCTCAAGTGTGACCACTTTTGTCAGGGAGCCGTTCAGGACAGCAACTGCCCAGAGGGCCCTCCCTGACCTTCCTTATCCAGTGCTGAACCCTGGCTGTCGCTCACATTCTCTTACTGTATGAGTTATTCCCAAAGATTTTTTTTGAGATGGGTTCTGTGTTGCCCAGGCGGGAGTGCAGTGGTCTCCCAGCTAGAGATGTTGTTTCCCAGGAAGCAGCCCTCACCTTTAGGTAGAGCTCTGAGCTCTCTTGTGTCCATCAACTTGGTTCATCCTCAGAAAGACCTGATGAGGTCAGAGTTACCCCATTTTACTCTGAAAGGGGTAAAATGGGATCTTGGCTCACTGCACTGCAACCTCCACCTCCCAGGCTCAAGCAATCCTCCCACTTTATCCTCCCAAGCAGCTGGGACCACAGGCATATGCCACCACATCTGGCTAATTTTTTGTAGAGATGGGGTGTTGCCATGTTGCCCAGGCTGGTCTTGAACATGTGGACACACATGATCTGCTTGCCTCTGCCTCCCAAAGTGCTGAGATTACAGGCATGAGCCATTGTGCCCAGTCCCCAGAGACTCTTGAGACCATCAGGACTGGGACAAGGCACCCTGAACCCCAGCACTGACTCCAAGAAACTGAGGTGACAGGCTGAAGGAGCTGCAGGTCTCCAGGCATCCCTAAGTTCCAGGCAGGGCTTCCATTGCCACCTCCCTGGCAGGGCAGGAACCCATCCTCTGCTTGAATCTCCCAGTGACAGGGAGCTCACTCTCTGGGTAGAGTGGGTGGCTCCGTGGACGTGATAGAGTCAGGTAGGCTGAAGTCCCTGTCCCAGATCTGTCTGCTTCTTGCTGTGTGACTTTGGAAAGGCTACTTAACCTCTCTGAGCCTTGGTCTCTTCAGTCTGTCCTCAATTCATATTTTTGGCACTAAACTGGTTGTGTGACCATGGATGAGTCTTGCCCTTCTCTGGGCTTCCATTTCCCCATCTGTACATGATTGGGGTAGACCTGATGATCTTCTAGGCAGCAGACCTCCAGTTCAGAGGAACTGCCCGGGTCTGCAGTTGAGGGCCAGTAGGGAACATTCCCATTTACTCATGATCGTGTCCATGCTTTGGACATCTGCAAAGATGAATAATTGATTTATGGCATTTAATAAAGGCCAGAGGCCACCTCTGGGACTCAGTCGGGGCTCCGGCTCATCTTGCTTGGAGGCTGCAGGGCAGGGGTGGGACCACAGCGTGTTCTTGATTGTGTTCATTAATAACAGAGGCATGGCTTAGTGCCATGCAGGGAAAAGCGGATACCCAGCTCCATGAATGGAGTCCCAGGATCATCACAGAATGCTAGAACCACAGCCTGTCAGAAGCCCGGACTCCTGCAAATCCCAAATGCTAACATCATGCAGCCTCCCGGCTAGAGATGTGGTCTCCCAGGAAGCAGCCCTCATGTTTAAGTAGAGCTTTGAGCTCTCTCATGTCCATCATCTCAGTTCATCCTCAGAAAGACCTGATGAGGTCAGAGTTAACCCATTTTACAGAAGGAGAGGCTCAGAGAGCCCTGGAGACTTGCTCACAGTCATGCTGACCTGAACATATGATCAAAAGGAAGGAAAAGCAATGGATGGGGAGGAGCCAGGCTTCCAAGCCCCAGCTCAGCCCCCCTCTGGCTGTGTGACTTGGGCCCGTTTCCTTATTTGTCATTGAAACCCTGGGTCCTTTCCCTCTTCCCATGGCGTCCCACTGCTTACCAAAAGGCAGGCAATGGAACAGTGAAGAGGAAGAAACCCCCCTGTACCCAGGTAAGTGGTTCAGACAGCCCTGCCTTTGGATCTGAGGTACTCACAAAGGACCCTAAGCTATCCCCAAACTCATCTGCCAGCCTTGCCCAGGGTCTAGCTAAGGGAGTTAGGAGGCCTAGGATCCGGGGCTACCCCTCTGCAGAGACCTTGGTCTCTCTGAGCCGTGGATTTCTTGTCCACAAAGTGGGTGACCAGAGGCCCCAGCCCAGGCTGAGCCCTGGCCCAGCCTTAAGTTCCTATTTTCCACGGTTGCAGCTTGGGGAAGGAGCATTCTGTATCTCTCCAGGGGGTTTCGGCTCCTGTAAGCCTTTGTTCTTGGAGGCTCCCCTCCACCTCTTCAGGGGGCCAGGAATGCAGGCTGAATCATCAATGCAAGCACCAAGGGGTCTCCAAGACCAGCAGCTAAAGTTCCCCAGGTTTCAATCCTAGCCATTCTTTAAGGTCTAGTTCCCATGCCTCCTCCTCCAGGAAGCCTTCCCTAAGTCCGCAGGAGGACTCCCCTCAGGGCAGGAGAGACTCCCCTCTCATTGTTTCCTCCTCCTCTTTCTTGCCAGCCTGTGATACAATCCTTACCCATACCCCGAGCACTTCCCATTACAGTCCCACACCAGCCTCCTCACCAAAGCCCTGGAGGTGGGCAGGACAGAGGCTCCCAGGGAGTAGGCCCTGGCCAGGGCCACACAGAGAGCTGGTGGCGGAGCTCAGAGGGCCAACCTGGGAGAGAGGCTCCAACTCCAGCCCCCAGGTCCCAGCTATGGTACTGGATACCCAGCTCCGGGCCCTGTCCTCCCCCGCCCCCTGCCCCCACTCACCAGTTGAATTCATCATAGTCATTGTGGACTTCCCACCAGAAGTAGAGCCAGGTGAGCGTGAGGCCAAAGGTGAAGGTGAGCAGCAGGAACCAGAGGCGCTCCCACTGGAAGAGCAGAGGAGGAGGGGGTTAAGTGGGTCAGGCAGGGGCCAGCCTCTGAGGCTGCCTCCCACCAGAATGTGTCCCCCTCCCTCCCACTTTTTTTTTTTTTTTTTTTTTTTTTTTTTTTTTGAGACAGAGGAGTGCAGTGGTGGCATCTTGGATCACTGCAACTTCTGCCTCCTGGTCCAAGCAATTATGTCTTAGCCTCCTGAGTAGCTGGGACTGCAGGCATGTGCCACCATGCCCAGCTAATTTTTTGTGTTTTCAGTAAAGACGGGGTATCACCGTGTTAGCCAGGATGGTCTTGATCTCCTGACCCTGTGATCTGCCTGCCTCAGCCTCCCAAAGTGCTGGGATCACAGGCGTGAACCACCACACCAGGCCTCTCCTCCCTCCCACTTTGCAGCCAAACCTGCCAGGCAGGAATTCCTGCCCTCTTTACCCTTGGAGAAACTGAGGTTCAGAGAGGGAAGTGACCTGTCCACCATTACCAAGCCCAAAGTCACAGAACAGCGGAGAGCCGGGCCAGGCCAGGGCTGTGATCTTTTAGCTGCAGTTTTTCCACTGTGTACTGCTCTCCCCATTCTGAGATGACCCCTTGGTGCTGGCACCGTGATCGTGATCGGCAGTCTGTGAAGTCACATTCCTCACACATGGCTACAAAGCAGGCATTGTTCTTCTCCACCTTTACCCCATGCTTCCAAGAAAAACACTGAAGGCCAGAGAAGCCAAGTCACTTGCGCAGGTCACACAGCAAGTTAGCAGAGGATTAAGGACCAGCGCCTGGTCTCTGGACTAGAAAAACTGCAGAAGTGCTGTGTTCTGCTGCCTGCATTGAGCCAGATACCCGTCTCCAGCCAGGTGGAAGTGGGGTGGCGGGGGACACTGACACCATCACTGCTGTTTCCGGAGGGGCCAGCTCAGCCTCTGCAGGTGCTTCCTCCTGGCCCTCTGGTTTCTCCTTGCTTTCATCCATCCCCTTATCTTGGAAGCACAACAAGCTTGGAATATCCTGCATCCTGGGAAACTGCTGAGATCATCAGAACAAGTCAACAGCCCTTGAGGGGAGGTCAGTGTGAGGAAGGACCCAGACTACCTTCCCCCTGAGGGTGTGAAGTCAGGGATGCAGGCCTACCTCCAGGCTCCCTGCTACGTTTCCAAACCACCCCAGTTTAACCTCTTCATGGCTCCTTACTTATAGCCAAGCAGGGAAGTCTTCTGGGTACGGCACCCTGACCTCTCCAGCTTCCACCTTCACAACCAGTTCCTTCAACCTGGAAGGGCCACTGCCTCGGGGCTTATTCTCTGAACATTCCCACTCAGCCTTCAAGTCAGCTCAAATATCACTGCTTCTGGGAAGGCTTCCTGGATCCACCCTGCCACTGCCTCTGTGAAGCCTTCCTGGATCTACCCTGCCACCTCGAACCAGCCGTGGTGCTCCCATAGCATCAGCATCCCTCTGTCTAAACTCATGCTTTGCACACCGTGACCTGCTGTGTCCCCTAGACAAATGTGGTTTCCGCAAGGATGGGGACCGAGCCGACTTCCACTCCATTAGTACTTTAGGACGACATGCAGGAATGAGCAGGAAGGAGGGAAAGTCCTCTCACTGTGCAGAATCCCTCCGTCCCACACCATGCGGAGACACCATCAGTCTGCTCGAGAACCTCAGATCTCTGTTACCACTTACAAGCCGTGTAACCTTGGGCAAAGTACTCATCCTCTCCGTCACTTAGTTTGCACTAAGTGAAATGAGGGCACCACTAGTACTTATGCCATGGGGATGATGGAGAATTAAAAGAGATAATATGAGTCAGGTGGTTTGGCGAGCACTTAGCACACTATCAGCGTATCTGTGGCATCCTCTGCCTCTCCAGAACATACGAAAGACCTGCATACCCTAATGGTCCATGACTCCACACCCACTAAGTGCCCACTCCGTGCCTTGTCTGGGCAAGAGGGGTGGTGCTTGGGTGACCCTTCTGCCCAGGTGGGTCACCCCAGTTGGGCCACTCATGCTTGGGTGAGCAGCTGCCACCACTCCTTGTCATGTGCAGAACCAGACTGCCTTGCTTAGCCCCACTTTGTATATAAACAGAGAAGCAAAGGTGATGACATGCTGAGACCCAGTCTTTCTAGCAGGTTTAGGTTTTGGGAGGTGGCTTCTCAGAGGGTAGGGCACTTGTGTGTACCCCACCTGGACACAGAATAGCACAAACTCCAGTTGCAGGCACAGCAAGACCCAGCCTCAGTCAGGAATAGGGAAACCCTGGTTAGGAGCAGGGCAGGTCATGTGCCCTTCTGGAGCAATGGAACCGTAGGAGCCACCACCCAGAGAATGGCTGGGACTATCTAGAGCTGAGTCTAGGGACTCAGTCCTGCCTCCCATGGCAGGGCGGTGGGGCTGGCCCAGACTGCCATGTCTAAGTCAAGGCTGTCTGGCGCTGCACACGACCATTTCCCCACCACTGTCCAGCCAGCACCCCAGGACTAGTCCTCAGAATCCCTCTTGCCACCTCAAATTCTTATTTGCTCATAACAACCTTCATTTCCTGCAGAGTGCAGCCGGTGAGTCCCAGGCCAGCTTAAACAGCTGAGTCTCCCAAAGGGTGAGCCATGTATCTTTAGACTGACACCCATCTGGTCACATCATGCCCCAGCTCGAGAGTCCCATTAGCCCGAGCTTCTCAGTAGACGTCAGGGCCCACTCTGTCTGGCCCAGGCCAGCCTCTGTGTTTTATGTCCCATGCACAGAATTAAATATGGTTCCCCAAACAGACTCTCCAGACTCCAGGCCTTCACACAGCCAGAGCCTCCATCTAGAAAGCGTCCTTTCTCTGCTTCATGAGGCAAACCCCTACTCCTTCCAGAGTGCCCCTCCCTGAAGATTCCCCTGTTTCATAGGGTGAATCCCATCTCCTCAGAGCTCTGTAACCCATGCAAGCATCTCACTTACAGCTCAGAGCCCACAGTCCTAGAACTGTCTCTATACATGTTGGCCTCCCTGCTATACATAAGTGCCTGAGGTCTGGGGGGTCTTCGTGCTCCAGGTGGCACAGGAACTTGAGAAAGATTTGATAATAAAATTACAGGTGAGGAAACACCCTTTCTTCTGCCCTGCACAAGTACATACACCCACCCAGGAGAGATTTCCCTGGGGCTTAACACCACATCCCCGCAAACAAGTGCCTAGTCTCTATACCACCCACGCTAGCAGTGCTCATGCCTGTCCATTTACAGAGACCATGCTGCCTCCTCAGGGGTAAGACCTATGTGCCTCTAACCAGTAGAGAAGGTTCTGAGAGGGACCTGGGTGAGGGGTGAGCCTGGGTCTGGGATGAGTCTGGTCCCAGGCAAGTAGCCTGGAGGGGAGAAGGTAGAGAACCTGCAGTAGGTGCTGGGAAGATGTCCTGTGGCCAGGGGCATGCAGGGCCCAGGGGCAATGCTGACAGGGGCCAGGAAGACAATAGGGCCCAGGAGGGCCCATGACAGCCAGGGTCCTATGCCCCAAAGGCCGCTGTCCTCACGTGTCCAGATCCTTAAAGTGGGGAAGGGCAGGGCAAGACTGAGGGGCTACACCTTCCACCCCTGGGTATTGGCCAAGACTAGAGCTGGCGGTGGTGAGAGGGGTGAGGTGCCCAGGCATGGCAGGAATGTGGGCAGGACCTAAGCAACAAAGAGCCAGGAACCCCATGATCAGAACTAGGGCATGAGCTGGGGTTGGGATGACCTAGGATTAAAGTCCTGGGAGCTGAAGCTGGAGGCCACAGGGAGCCTGCAGATGAGGGCGAAGAGGCCCCAGCATAGAGGGAGGCAGGCAGTGGGGGTCACTCTAAGAACAATCAGAGGAAAACACTGAATGGCAAGGGCTGGGAGGAAGGGAAGGGGAAGGGGAGGAAGTGGCTGCAGGAAGTGGCCTGTGGAACAGCTCCACTGATAAAGAGGCTCCAGTGGCACTAATGGTCCTTGTCAGGGCACGTTACAGCAGAGAGAGGCCTGCCTGCTTCACCCATTAGCAAGCCAATCTGGCCCTGCTCCCGGAGATGCGGAGCAGTGATCGCTACCCCAATGCCATGGCCACAGCCCTTCTTCATCTCTCATAGTCTGCACAGCACCACAGGTTGTTTATTTAGGGATATCTACCCCCATTGCACAGAGGCTCAGGGAAGAGCCCCCACATATGGCTGAGCAAGTCATGCATTGCCCCCTAAGAAGTGCCACTCAGGTCGTGGTGACCATTTGCTGGCACATGGTGGTCATGTCCTAGGAAAGGGGTGCTTTTTCATAATTTGCATAAAGGCTCAACACGGGTGAGTAGAGGGGAGTCAGAGGGGTCAGCAGGTAGGGGAGGAGTGGGGATAAAATGTGAACCCAGGTATACTGACTCCACCTTGGGAGGCAGCCTGCACAGCCCCCATCAAAACCCACCCTTGCCCTCTGGGACCCAGTATGGCTATCCCAGGCCCAGCCTGGCTCCCTAATTTCTCCCCTCCATCTCTCTGATCCCAGGCCAGACCTGTTGCTCCTTCAGGAAGCCTTTCCATTCCTCCAGGCCTCAAAGCCCCCCTGACAAGCCATCCTGCACAGACTCTTGGCACCCACCACTGTGACCCTCAATCAAACTGTAAATTGTGGAGATGGAAAGAATACAGGCTCTGAAGAGCTGGCTCAGCCACTCAGCACGTCACTTGGCCTCTCTGAGCCACAGTCTCCTCACTGTAAATGGGAATAACAGCCCCTCCCTCGGAAGGAGGCTGTTAAATGAGCTGAAGGGATTCAGGTGGCACACAGGAGGTGTCTTAATAAGGGCTGGCTCACTGGTCTGCAGGCTCCCTCAGGTCAGGGATGGCCTGAGCTATCTTTATGTCCCCTGGGTCCAGCATCACACCGGGCATGAGGTGGTGGTCACCGGTGGCATAAGGGTCAGAAGGAGGGATGGATGTGAGACAGGCTGACACAGGGATGCTCAGCACCACCAGCAGGCAGCGCCTTTATGCAAGCCC